AGTTTCCTTTCACATTATCACATCGTACGATTCTGTTTCTTATTTTATGATTGGCTAGTAGTTAGAACTCAGTTTGTATCTCCTCTTGAATAGTTGTATATAGTTAAGACGTTTCTAGTCAGTAGTTCTTTAGTTCAAACCTTTCGTCTCTACATTGTGTAGCAGCCCAAACGTACCTGCTCAAATATCATCTCTTTTATCGTGATAACCTTCGTTCGAGTCCTAGTCTCTGCCCTAGCATTAAGTTGTTTAAGGGGTTGTGACACCTGCAGTTGTTGTGCACAAACTGCGCATACTGGAGGTAGCCGACCAACGAGAAGCTTCATAATATCGATTGAGAGAAGCCAGAACTGTCTCGTTTGGCACAAGGACAGGCCACTGCTGTTGACGCTGCAATGACAGCTGAACCTCTTCACGTAGATGTATGTTCCTCTGTTCGCGACGCATCATCTTGAGGCGATTGGCAGGAGACTGGACTTCCTGGGACAGGCTGCGAACCACGTCAGGGCCATACTCGACCTCAAGGACGGTTAGGATGTAATGGGAGTCGGGGTGGGCGAAAGGATGCTCAAATGGGAAATAAGACAGCCATATGGCACTCAATACATGGGATCCCACAGCCTGTAGATACAAAGCTCGTTCGCGAACGTGACATACGAGACCGTTACACATTTTTGCACGGGAGCGACTATTGATGGCAGGCCGCCCGAACAACGGAAGAAGGTGGATGGAATTAGTCAGGGTGTCCACAGAAAGCTTGAGTAGCCTGCGGACAAGCTCTTCGGTCGAAAGCGACGTCCAAGGTATGGGCGAAACAGGGCAAGGGTGAACCGCATAAGCCGCAGGGGGAGGACGACGAAGAACTTCGGCAACATCTGCACCGAAGACCGTCACAAATCATGCACAAAGCAACGGAAACAGATGACGCTCACACGACGAAGGTAGCTGGACGTCATGCAATCGAGAGGTGGCACAAGCGCAGGACAATCCCGTAAACTCAGAGCGTGCGGTCTGAAATGATTGTAGGATCGCGCGTACAAGAACAGCCTTCGACCCTCGCTGAACTTTCGTCCCAGGAAGCGCAACGGCACACTGCTTAAGCACGGGAACAGATAGGGCAGCAAGGTTGTGTTCAATGGTGCTGTCAGCATAATAGAGCCAGGGGGGACACTGTTCCAATCTGGATGCAATGGACGAAGCCACACTGGAACTATGACGCATGGCTAACGGGCCGAGAATCATGCAGTGACGATAACCAGGACACTCGATCTCGCGGAGAGACAGAAAGGTGGATGCATTGTTACGACTGATGACAACGGACATGCCATTGAATGTAACACAGCCTACAAAGGGGGACGAGCAAGAAGGGCACGATACATGATGCGTTTGAAGACATTGCAGGAGCCAGGAGCAAAAAGTTTGGGGTGTTTCAAAGTGAGAGGTGTGGTATTGGGGGTAATAAAGAGCATCATAATAAACAGGATAGTCAAAGTGGTCGTGAGGAACAAGTTCAGGAGGACAGAAGTGCTCAGCAAGCGCTCGAGGAGAGCGGCACGGAAGTTTGACAGCAAACGGCCTACAGATCCGTCAAAAAGAATGTGAGACTGCAAAACACAGAACTCACATCACAACGTAGCAACCAAAACAGCGAGCTAAAGAGAGTCTGAACGTCAGCGTGACCGGGAGTAAGCAACACAAAGAAATCGACAAACCTGCTAGGACGACAGAACGGAGGGCTACGGAAGGATTGAAAATAAGAAAGACGGGTGTCAACAAGCAGCTTAGTTAAGGAAATCGCACGGGAAGGAAACAAGAAAAAAAGTCGCACGCATGCGTTTGCAGGTGCCTGGACGTTTCTTGCAAACAACAACCCTTCTCCCACTAATCGTGGGAGTCGGGGAAGACCCGGAGATGAGCATTTTTCCGTCCGGGGTCCAAGCCAGGCACGACACCATATATATGTGTCCTTTGAGAGTTGCGACAAGCTCGCCTGTTTTCGCATCCCAGATTTGAATCGAGGACTCGTTATTATCTTCAGTCCTGTGTCCACCATATCCACCAGTCGCAATCATGGTGGTGTCTGGCAAATAGATGGCTGCGTACACTGCGAAATGTGTCGGAAATTTCGTAAGTCGGTTGCAACAGCGTGCCTGTGAGACTCGGTATCAACCGTATTGATACCGAGTCACGATATTGAAACTTAAGTTCTATTCTTAAAACCCATTAGGAATATTTATACCAGAGTTGCATCATTGTAACTGATTTGTAATATTGATGCCGGACCTAGACCCTCGGTACGTCAATTGCAACGCTGTAGCCAGCTGTTAATTCAGATACCGCACCATCCTCTCAACACCCCTTCACCAACAACTTCAGCCCTCGTTAGTATCGTCTGTTCTCCTTGTTACAGTTCTGATTTGTATAATTTCATTGGCAGATCTGCGTCTTTTAAATGTCATTAGTCTGCTGATTCAAATCACTTACATATTTCAGATTCTGCAAGCTTTGTATACCCGACTTCACCCTCCAGCGCTTCGCAATCAAAGTGCCACACCATCTGCTGTCTTGAGAGGTGATTTTACACCCATCTTCACTAACAATTCATGTAAGTCTCGTCACTGTCTCTGATGAATCTGATGCTGATGTGTCCCAGTTTCAATATCATACTAGATGCCCGCCGATTTGCAACGATCCTGTGATCATTGTGGCCGATCCTTTCATCGCCAAGGATTCCAAACACACGAAAAGGCTTGCCAGAGGCGCTCTGAACAAAGAAGAGAGGATTTGGAGCTTGCTAGGGTCATTCGTCAAGGTACGTCTATTACTATATTACTAGCATCATTTTGATTCTACACTAATGTTAATTAATTGTAGAGCAAGAACAGGCGCATCAGGGTAGTGTGTTTGCTGGTGTCCGTCCTTCCGTCAGTGGCTCAACATCTCGTAAGCCGTCACTTTCGTTTGTCCTCGATTGCCAACACTGACCTGTTGTGCATTGACGCAAGCTATCGACAATCGCTTGGAGGGTGATGATTTCGATTTCGATAACCAAATGGACTACCAACATGATGCCGATGTGGGACGGACCGATTCTGATGGTATGTTTTCGTCATTTCTTTGTATCATCATGTTTTCAACTTATGTCTATACAGGTGATCCGCCACCATCTGGAACAGCATCGCCTGCACCCCAGCATGAAATTGACGATATCAAAGTGGAATACCACCCCAGTAGTGGTATCCCCACCAAAGTGTACCACTTCGAAGACTATGGAAGTGGTCCCGGTGCCCCACCACCAGTTCCAGAAGCAGATCCTACACCCTGGCAGCTGTTTCGCACACGTATCGACTTCGAGGTTGCAGAACTCGCTCATGACGCCGGACTCTCTCATGAACAGCTGGACCGGCTCATTCACCTCATTCACCCCAGCAAGATGGAGCTCTTTACCCTCAAGAATCGCAAAGATGTGAGAGACACGTGGGATGCAGCGTCATTCAAGATGACACCTGTGTGTACTATTCACTAACTTCGTATATACTATGCTTATTTTGCTTCTGTCATGTAATAGTTTACAAAGGTGGAGGTTACTGTGCCCTTCCGTGGTGTTAATCAAACATTCCCGCTATTTCATCGTTCACTGTGGGACTGGGTCACCGATTTACTTCAAGATCCACAAGTAGGCCCCAACTTCGTCTTCGATGCGCAAAGACTGTCAAAGTTCAACGGCGAGAAGTTCATTCGGTTCATTCATGAACCATGGACCGCTAATGTGTTCTGGGAGTATCAGGTAGGTCATTTTCTTATTAGTATCGCGTCTGCATTGTAGTATATACCATTGACTGATTCAGAATATCAATATAGTCCAAAATCCCACCAGACGCAAAACCTCTTGCATTCATTTTGTATGCCGACAAAGCAAAATTGTCGTCATTCGGTCGCGCGAAAGGTTACCCTGTAGTCGCTCGCTGTGCTAATCTTCCTATTACGATTCGCAATGGAGAAGGCTTGGGTGGAGGGCGCGTTGTTGGTTGGCTGCCTATCGTTCGCTCTACTCTTCCTTATAACTACTGATGATTTCATTATTAACACTCAGGACAGGTAAAGGAAGACAAGCAGCATTCTGGCCAACCTGCTTTCGTCAACTTCAAGAACGCAGTGTGGCACGCCTCATTTCTGAAGATTCTCGAATGTCTGGGACCGCTATCGAGGTTTGGTTCCGCCATCAAATGCTGGGACGACGTTATTCGCGCCTTCTATTCAATTGTACTAATACTATCTGCAGATTATGAAGAACAGTACGTGTATTCTAGTTCCGGTAACTATTATATATCTCTGACATCTAAATGTGTTCACTGTTGTAGGGCTGTAATGGCATTGATTCGTGGTTTAATGAGCAAATTTCCTTGTCCCGTCTGTCTAGTGCCTCACGACGAACTTTCAAACACTCTCAAGGTATTTCCTCTCCGCACATGCACAGGAACTAAGGCATTGCTTGCTCGAGCGCGAGAATCTTCTACATTGGAGGCAAGAGAACAGATCTTGAGTTCCCAGAGCCTCCGCGATGTCGACGTGAGTCTCGCTCTTATCCTTATCTTTATCTTACTCAGTCTAATACTATTGTTTCGTTTTCAGAGTTCATTCGGCATTCTGGAGCACACCGACGTTCACAGGGCTCTATCGCACGACAAGCTCCACTTCAACGACGAGGGATTGTTCAGTGATCACACGTGGCCTGAACTGCAGAAATGGGTTGAACGTTTGGGTCGACAGGCCGCTGTCCAGATTGACACCTTGTGAGTCATTTTCCCGCTGTACTTATGTATTAATAGGTTTTAATTTATATTGTCAGCTTTCAATCAATTCCGCGTTGGCGAAACCTGAATCACTTCGATCAGGTTGTTTCAGTATCATTTTCCGATGGAACGAAATACGAAGACATCTCTAAGGTGAGTCTAGATCATTCATTTTAACATGTCATTCACATTGTTTTAGCTTATTGTATTTGCGGCACATAATGTATTTGACCGCGATACAGATCCGGAGGCATATCTCATGCTCCGCTGTATCCGAAGCTACACGGAGTTCAATATGTATGCTTCGTTAGAGGTTCATACTGAAGATACCATCAATAATGGCCGGGAAGCGTTGTCAAAATTCACTGGATTGATGGATGTACATATTTTTAGTTCAATTCTAATTCATTGCATTGAAATCAATTGTTTGGTCAGAAATACATCGAAATACATCGAGGACACGGCAGAGATGTCCGAGAAGTCCTGGAATTTCCCTAAGAAACACCTTTCGGCCCATCTCTTTGACGACATCGAGGCGAAAGGTGTTTCTCGAAACTACAGCACCAAGCCGAACAAAAAAATGCACGGCCCATTGAAAGATGCCTATCAAGATCGCACGAATTTCAAGAACTTCGCTGAACAGGTGAGTGACTTCTGAATCTGAGTTCGCATATATATGACTAACAATGAATTTTTTTAAGATCCTCCGATACAACCATGACAGCTTGATTGCGGAATACATCCGCAACAAGTTGGATCACCTCGACACTCAGAATATCAGCGTAGACCAACCCGAATCACCCGATACTACACTCCAGGAGACCGACAACTCGGATGACATTGATGTTGACTCGACGGAACCTACTGATGCCCAACATTTCACTCTCGGTTCAAAGCAGGCGGCAATGTCATTCACACTCATCGAGGCAGGTAGTCCGGGTAATCCAGCGTTTGATAGATTTCGAATCAAGCTAAACGACTTTCTGAACTGTGCGTTTGCTGCCAACGGCATACCGTTTCCAGGTGGACGACGGATTCAACTCATTGCGAGCGACATGGTGAGTTGATGATGTTCAACGCTCCGAAATAACATAATATCTGAGTCCTTTTGAATTAGATCGTGGAACATCGATTCCTTAGAGTCAATTTCGAGTCACTTGTCGACTGGCGAGTGTCCACGGACTACCTTCGATGCACTCCGATGTTCCATGGCTCACCGCGATACGATTGCGTCATCTTGCAGACCGACACTGGCATCATCTTTGGCAAACTAATGTTGATTTTCACATGCACAGTAGGGGATGTTCAATATCCTGTCACGCTTGTTCTCCCATATGATCGACCGGTCGGCGTTCGTCCTCAAAAGGACAAAGACTTTCAGTTTTGGCGCGTTAAGACAAAGCCTAGGGCTTCTGCAGAGTTTTTTTCAGTTCACTCAATTATTCGGGGTTGTTTGATAGTAGAGGATGCCAGCAGACCTGGCGAGTTTCTGGTTGTTGACACTATTGACACTGATATGTTCCTTCGAATGCAGGACATCTGCAGCCAGTGATTGGTCCAGGATTCTTACTTCCTCCCTTATCTCTGAATCCATATACATTTCGCTCATCTTTATCTCATCCATCATTCCCTCAGTCATCGCTTTTTATGTGTCCGAGTCATCATCAACCCCACCAATTGCTTCACTCCTGCTCACCTTCCCCGTTGTGATCGCAGTTCCCCGTGTCATCCGCCGCATGCTCAAAATATCCAATTCGGACTCAGGTCTCGCCACAACATGTATTCCTCTGTTTCTCGCGCCACCTTTGATCGTTGGCACAATGTTCTGGATGCTCGAATGGTGACCGTCAACAGTGCTCCCCTCTCAGGCTCGGCTCGTATAGCCCTAGGCAACACGAAGAAACGCCTCGAAAAGTTAGAGTGTCTACTAGCTGAATTTCAGGCTGCAACAGTCAACGGTGCTCCCCTCTCAGGCGAGGCTCGTCGTGTCATCGAAGAAGAGGCACGTGTAGCCCATGCTGATAGACAGAGAGATGAGGCAGAAGCACGCAGGCGCGTTGTTCTCGAATCTTACGACGAACTCAGCAAATATCTCGCCGCAATCGAATCCCGTGCTGCCGATACACGTGCTGGTTTCCAGCGTATCCTTAGAGATCCAGGTGGCCATCTCGTCTTGACACCCATCCCAAATCAAATACAGCACTATCACAGCCCCTACTCTGCGAATCCTAGTATCACTGTAGAACACCCACGTTTATACAATTGATCTCACCATCGCTACACTTCATCCCTCAGTTCTGGTGCTCTCCCTCCAGCCCTCCCCGCTCCCCCCTCCACTCGTGGTGTCTGTCCTCGCTCAGGCAGCTTCGATGACACATCTTATCTCATTGCACCCCTCCAGCCACCTTCCAAACGACCTCGCAATGACCGTGGTGAATATGACCACAGGCCTCCACTCTCCGTAAGTTCCCTCTCATACTACCTTTTTATCTCCTCACATTCTCCAGGCTACATCACGCGGTCGCATTCCTGATATCGACCCCCTCCCCCAACAACTTCCTCAAATTCAACACCATAACCATCACCTTAGCATTCGCCCTACTCATAAATCTCACTCCTGATCCAGCAGCCGATCTAGTGTCCGTGCTACTTCACAGGACATCGAGGACCTCCTCCTTGACGCTGCCACTGATGAAAGGAGCGCTCTCAATGCCCGTGACCAACAGCCACAGTCTCCCCGTGCCGTGTTGGCTGCCCACCAGTCCAGGGGTATCCCAGTGGGTCCATTGGATCAACCTGGCGAGCTCAGGACCTATCAAACCCACATTTTTGCCCCTCCCATCATGGGCGCCCCCCAAAAGAAGGGGAAACCAGGGTCAAGCGCAAATATCAGTGCGTGCATTTTTTAATGAACAGATCTCGAGTTGATGACATAGCGCCAGCTCACAATGGCTCCCCACCAACACCTGGAACTCCTAACGCCTTCGTCCCTGCCATCGCACCAGCACCTCCACCCGCTATTCCTCCCACCACCACAGATGAATGCAAGATATTTTCCTTCGCATTCACGTGGCTTGCGCTTCCTTGACTGGTGTCCTGGTTCTCTGTCTTGTTATTCCTCGTCTTGGATCTACGGCGACTCTCGCTATTGATTATCGTCCAGTCGAATCTCGAATCTCTTTCTATCATCTAATGCAAATCATCGAATCAGATCACCCCACACTCCAATCATATGTTTTCATCCCATGCTCATCTCGCTGTCTGCAACTGTTGTTTTCGTGCTCTTTTGTTTCTTTTTCTTTTTTTTGCGTCCATGCGGTTCATTGTTGTTCATCATTTCGTGCTATCTGTATTAATCCAAACTAGTATGTCTCGAGTCAGATCGGAACCGTGACCCTCCCTCTCCGCCTGTAATCGCTACCCTACAGACTTAGACTACTGACAATGAAGATCCTGGACGAAGACGACAGGGTGTGGTGTCATCTGGTGGGTGAAACATCCTCCATTTTATCACTCCCTAGTTGACACACACCTTTCATCACAACACCTTCCTTCTCCCCACTCCGACCCCAACACAGATCCAGACGCAGACGGCAAAGGTGATGCGGATGTAGACGCGGAGTTGAGAGAAGCAGCTGATGCTGCTGCTGACCACCGCAGTGCGTCTTCAGCTGGCATGAAGGAGGAAGACATAGAAGTTAGAGAGTAAGCACAAGTCCATAACAGCCGAGACTGATTCGAGGAGCGTGACAATCCTCACCCCAGGTATCCCCCCTCTGGTTCTCCGGTACCCCACATGCACTCGGCAGCATCGACGGAGCATTGACGCTTTCCCACTGCTCGGGGATCTTTGGGCCATCGCTTCGCCCGCTGTTTGGTGATAGCGACACCATTGGTTACCACATGGTGAGCTTCCTTTGATTTAAATGAACCCCCCTTCCTCACCATTTTGAATGGCATTGCCCCCAGGTATGGAGGATTGTACTGACATATTGTACCGGCACCTTCATCGCCAGGTATTCCAAAACACGAACCTACCTCTGTTCAATGTCGCTTCTGAATCACCTGGACCGGCTACAGACTATTAATACTAATACCAAGACTATCTATACCGTGCAGCATCATTACTTGGCCTGGCTTTATTTCGAGACTGTGCATCTGAATCATCCTACTACAATATTAATTACGTCCTACCAAAGCTAATCTTCATCTTCTGAATCATTCATACCTACTTGCCACCAAAGGTGCATTGTTAACATGATTATGTCAGCATTTAATCGTGTTTTCTCACTAAGTCCACTGGTTGAGTTCAATGTTCAATATTGCAACTTCTGAATCTTAATCTCAAACCAATTGGGACCACAATCCAAGCATATTTATTATCATGTCAAGCAAATGCAGGTGAGTCTGCATCATTAGTCTTCTAGGTCAAAGCATGTTGAACCAATAGCACGACATCTGATTCAGAATCTTTCAGTTTTAAATATTACAGCGCTTATTAGACTGTTGTGTAATAACAGTCATCGGTCCCAATGGTGCATGCCAGCTCTCCAATACTTCTTGGCCATCAGCACTAGATAGTGCCACAAATGTAAGTTGCCTCGTGTCATATTATCATTCACCTGCATGCTGATTTCAATTTCAAGGCTATGCACGATGTAATTTCCCTTGTGTTTTCTTTCATCATGTTGTTCGGTCCAAGTTGCGCAGCAAATATTTTCGACTATAAATGGTGGGTCTGTCCGTCATTACTTTCCGTACTGTGTTGTACTTGACTGTACCAGTTCTTGTGATGCCTCAACGTCCCATTGCACATGATGACTCAGAGTCCGAGTTAGACTACAATGACATATCTGATTTGGACAATGCACCGGTGGCAGGGATCTCGTCAACCACCACTCAGTCATCGGCTTCTGTGCAGGGTGGAGACATGGAGGTAATGTTTATGCCTTGCTTCGCTCACATTTGGTGACTCTAATTTTGTGCATTTCTATTAGATCATTCGAAGTCTGCAACTAGAAAACCAGTCACTTAAAAATAACAATAGGACTCTGGGCGAGAAGAACAAAATCTTGGCATCCAATCAACATCGACGTTCGAGTGCGCAAGTTCCCGACGAGCTGAAGGCTTACGACGTTGAACTCTCAACCTTTGCTCACAAATATGGTGTCATTGCTGAGATGTTCCCACCCGAGCACCGTGTTCTCAGATTGCTCGTGCCAAACCCTCCGCCCATGATCATATCTGCTAGTCGCTACGCAAGCAAGAGTGCCGAAGAGCTTTGTCTTGTGACAGAGGTGTATTCACTTCTACCGGATCACCTCCATTGTTTCGTACCTACCTCTCATTTTCAATCATTGGTATGTTAGTTTATATATTTCATTGTGTGACCAAGCACTGATTGATATGTATTGTAGCTAGAGCAGCATCTCCAAGGCGGGCGCTCGAGTGAGATCGGCAAACTACGCTTGATGGCAGGGCGTATTTTTGGTCTGGATTCGTCCTACTTTGACCTGTGTTTCATGAAGCAGGATACCATTCCTGAAATCCAGAAGATGCTCGGACCAGGTACCACTGGTGCTCGCTCCTCTCCGTCAAAATTTCCGCCCATCCTTTTTGCAAACCGAGAGATGGACCCCACGATGTCCACGGTTTTTGGTAATTGGGAACCACTCGCAAAGGTATTTTTTTTCAATCTCTGAAGAATCTATTCTTGTGCTAATTGATCTACATAGGCAATTAGGATCGTGATGTTCGGAAAGAATTCACTGGACATTTCTGGGTGGCCGCGTGCTAAGTGCAATGCTCAAAAATGGGGCACAACGTCCTGTACTCCCGGTCTTCTTGCATGGGGTTGGGTCGCAGTGAGTTCTATTTCTGCTATGATCGATCGTCTGAACCAGCATCTAACTATTATTCTTTAGTTGATATTCATCCTTTCTCCTGATACTTCATTCGCGAAAGCTGGAGTTGGCGCAAAGTCTCGGCTACCACATGCTGCCATGTTTACGGCCTACAAGCAGCTGTGGGTCTCCCTTTGGGATCAACCTCGCATTTGCTTGATCCGCAAAAAGATCGACGCCTACGTGTGGCAATCATCTTCGACTTCCAATGTTGCGACGTCTGACGCTGAAGGTGAAGATTTTACCTCTGATCTGATGTGTTTGGCCATCACAAATGCAGGGTGCAAGGAATCTGACTTTCCTGGACCGACTACCGACAACATTCCTGGAACGACTACCGACAACACCTCCGATATTCCTAGACCAGTCACCCCCATTTCACCCATAGTCATTCCGGCAGCATCTGCGTCAGCCCTTACTCCTGGACCTGCAGTACCGGTCATTGTTCCTGCTGCACCGGCCATCCCAGTGCTTGGCCCTGCAAAAACTACCACCGCCCCAGATCCCAATCCTACAATCCTCCTGCCTGCTCAACCGACCCCAACTGTGGCATCTGCAGGTGTGGTCCAGGGTGCAGCTGCTGTTGCAGTCACTGCGGCCCTTGAATTTCCTCCCGCAGCTGCTGAAGTATTACCCAATGACGTGGAGATTCTACCAGCGGTGGCAGCAGCTCCATCCTCTGGCCGTCGGGGCCGAGGAAGGCAGGCGGGGATGCTGGCACCTGTGTCTAGTGGGCCAGCAGGCCAGCAGGCCAGCCGACCAAAGCGATCCCGGAAAAAGTAGTACGAGTACTGTACGACTGCCACCTACAGATCACTATTACCGTATTATTTGATATGTTTTGTTGAGGATGGGTGCTAGTTACAATTGTATTTACTTGCTCTCAATGATATTTGGATTGAATTGAAATGTGCCTGTTTGCGTTCCAACGTTCTTGAGACCCAGTTAGATTATTCGGATAAGCCTTGGGATCTAGATTTCAAGGTACCGCAAAATCAGCTTGGACAGTTGCAGCCGACGGTCAATATTTCTGATTTGGTTGAAACCCTAATTGAAGCCACGATTGTGACACAAACTCAATATTGTAACGTGAATTGTAACACAAATGTAATGTCACACTCTTTTATTGCAACCTATTGGGACTTCGGCTTGTCATTGATTCATTGCAACACGTTACAAGGCGACGAAACCCAATTAGGAAATTTCCGACATGCCCTGTGTTGATTGGCCTGGGTGACAGGATTGTCTCTCCGCTCTCCACATCCCACTGCCTTACAGTCCCATCAAAAGATCCGCTCAATACTCGCTGACCATCTCGACTCCAACAAACAGACCACACACTACCTGTGTGTCCCGTCCATTTCGCGATGACCTTGCCTGTCTCGATGTCCCACAACCTCACTCCACCGTCCCTACTCCCACTAACCACCTTCTCCCCATCTGGGGACAGCGCTATACAGTGCACTTGACTGTCTCCGTCCCGCCAGTCTTCTCCCATCTGTTTCCCGCTCTCCAAGTTCCATACCCGCAGCGAGCCATCATCTGAACAAGTAATGATCCGCTGTCCATCAGGCAGGTGTACGATGCCCTGGACGGCATCGGTGTGTCCTTCAAATCTCTGATGAAGCGTTATTGCTGATATGCCTTTCGTTTTAGTGGTGGGTGAAGACATGCTCCAAAACTCCTACTACTGAATGCAGCACCGTCTCAGATTTCATACAACATATTCCGAATTCATCACTTTTTGAGGACAACAGCGACGGGTGGATAGTAGGGGACAATGGGCGTTCAGATCAAGTCAGAATGAAATCCACTGCTTCCTGGTACGTTTCACATGCTGTACCATCGTGTTCACAGCTTACATACAGAATAGGCTGTGCAGCACAAGCGCCCAAGCCTCATTCGTCAGTGTCCAACCGGGTTGCATCTTACAGAGCCTCGGTCCATGATTAGCTAGTTCTCGACAACTAGATAAGACCTGGGGCTGTTCGCTGCGAAGCACTCTCGTGCATTCTCGATGTCTGCTGTTGATGAATGGTATCATTCCAGTGAGTTGCGTTGCCTATATGCTAGCGCCCGTTATCTAATGGGCTCTGGAACATTCCCTCGTACTGGCTCACTGTGTTTTTTTTGCTTACTGGTCAGACTTTTATATTGGAACTATTAGCATTCGGACCCCTCTGAGTCGACTTCTGCTTACAGCAACAGTTTACGCAAAAGGCCAAGGAACATTCGCTGCCACACGCTTCGTTCTTCTCTTCCACTCGAGTCGTATGCTGCCTGGCGATCGGGTTGGGTTACCAGAACTTACTATTCTGAATTGGTAGGTTCTGTTCCACGCATGAGGAGTGGGTATGAATCATGGTGATACCTAACCACCCCACAGATGACGAAATAAACACGTACCGTATCCTTGAGTTCCTGTTCAGAGGTATTCCATTTTATGCCGGAGATCATACCATGTGTCCATGCCTCTGGATAGCTAAGGAGCTCGGGCAATGGGGTTGGGTTGACTCGTGGGACGCGGGAAATGAGCATATAGATTGGTGCTAATTCTGCGTTCCGGGGAACTTCGTTGCTCTCGAAGGGGTTGATTCCGTATCTGACAGGGTCTTTGATCTCGGATTTGTAGTCTTCTTCGTTGAGGAAGCATTGCAAAGGGAGGGCCCTAGTTTCACGTTCACCATCTGGAAGCCTTACCTGAGAATACCGCTACACACGAATGTTCTCGGATCCCGCGCTTTCCAGTAATCATTTACTTGACGAATTTCTGGGGTGCGCTGACATGCGTCATCGAATAACAAAACTCACAAAGCAGGAGTAAATCGTCATGATTGCAATATTCTGTAGGACCAGTCCTGACCTGTCAGTCAACAGAGAAGGGGAAGCTGTCAAAATATGCGAGAATCGCCTCAGTTACCGATTGAGAAGCCACCAGCCGTGTGGAGGAGCAGACGCGTTCGAAAATATTCCTGCGGTGAGTTGGAGGAAATGAGAACACAGCCGGACCGTGCGTGTGGTTATGGTAGGTTTCAAGATTTGCTAGGCCAACACCTTACAAGAAGTCAAACATTCGACTACCAGGAGAATACACACGCCATTATTTCAAATCTTGTGTGTATACGCGAGCCGCTGCAGGCAGAGATGATGAGACACGCGGTATCACAACAGGAAGGTTAAAAACAAGCAAAGTGAGTAGCATGAGTACGTGGAGCACGTAAAGGCATGAGACTCGTAAGGGGCGAGAAAATGACAGACTAATGACCATCTGTGTATTCAGGAGACAGACAAACAACGAAGAGCCAGAAGCGAGTCCAGCACCCAGCCTGTCTTATTGTCGCGTCAGGGCGTGAGGAAGTGGAATTTGTAGCTGCGGCGGTATCACCAATAGCAGGTGTGGTAGACGAATTGGAAACAGGTGGCTGTGGTTGCGAAGATGGCTGAGTCTGAGTCGCACCACTGGATGGTGTGGTGTTGGGCTTGGGAGTCCGTGAGCTGCCTAGAATAGTGCGCAATGATTTCTTTTTTCGTTTCTCTCCTGCTGATGCATTCCTCTACATAATGTCAAGTCGAGTCAAATGTCTGAGAAGGAGAAAAAACATACACGTTGTCCCTGTGCGTACGGGACCTCAACAACTGCTGGGCCGCGCCCGTGGAATTCGATGTTTTCACTATTTTGTCCGTGCCGTGTAAAAAGTTGTTGGGACCAGTCGAGAGGAGAGGACGGTGTATCGGAGGGGCTGCGGTTGAATAAGCGGCCAAGAAGTGTGCTTCCTTGGGATGCTGAGGAGTGTATGTGGTTTCGTGGAGAGAACTGAACATACCAAGTCAGGAAAAACATCGAAGTGATACTAAGAACGTACACGAGAATCATCTGGTGGGACATCGAAAAAACCTTGGGGTACCCGATGGGCAGGCTGACGTCGTTGGGCTGGATGTCGTGTAGCATTTTCCTAGAGTATATATGTTTGAATGCAATGAAATCTGTCTATGAAGGTGTAACGTACACGGAGTACCAACTTGTTGGCCTGGCAGAGCGCGTTCAGTTGTGAGAATGTAATGAATGCCTGTCAACTCACCTTTGGATCCAACAGAAGTTCGTCGAGGCCAGCTTCTCTCATGATGGTAGCAATATCCCATGTGTACGCGTTGTTATCCCAGGAGCCAGTGGCTAGTAGCTTTCCATCCGCGGAAAATGAGACAAAGCGAACTGGATTTGCGTGTTGGAGTGGAGAACTGATAGGCTGGCTGTTGTCGAGGTTCCACAATCGCGCTGTCTCGTCGTATGATGCGCTTGCGAGGATGCGGCCATTCGGGGATATTGCAATGCCATAGACAATGTTAGTGTGCCCTTCCAGAACTGCGATCTGCTTCCATGATGATGTATTCCATATCCGAATCGAGTAATCGTATGACCCGGAGATGAGCGTTTTTCCGTCCGTGGTCCAAGCCAGGCCCTCCACCCAATTTCTGTGTCCTTTGAGAGTTGCGACAAGCTCGCCTGTCTTCGCATCCCAGATTTTAATCGAAGAATCGTTAACGTTGTCATCTGCATCTTCAGTCCAAGGCCTATCACGTCCACCAGTCGCAATCATGGTGGTGTCTGGCGAATAGATGGCTGCGTATACATATACATGTCCTGTCTTGATTGGCCCGGGTGCCAGGATCGTTTCTCCGCTCTTCACATCCCACTGCCTCGCAGTCCCATCAACAGATCCGCTCACTACTCGCTGACCGTCTCGACTCCAACAGATGGAAAACACTGCCTGCGTGTGTCCCGTCCATTTCGCGATGACCTTGCCTGTCTTGATGTCCCACAACCTCACTTCACCGTTCTTACTCCCGCTAATCACTTTCTTCCCATCTGGGGACAACGTTATACTGACCACTCCACTGTCTCCGTCCCGCCAGTCTTCCCCTATCTGTTTTCCGCTCTCCAGGTTCCATACCCGCAGCGAGCCATCATCTGAACAAGTAATGATTCGCTGTCCGTCAGGCAAGTGTACGACGCCCCGGACCCAATCCGTGTGTCCCTCAAATTTCTGGCGAGGCAGTATTTCTGACATGTCTTTCCTTTCAGCGCTGGGCGAAGCCATACTCCAAAATTCCTACTACCGAGTGCAGCACCATCTCAGCTTTTATCCAACACATTCCAAATCCATCACTTACCGAGGACAACGACGACGGGAAGATAGTAGGGGACAATGGGCGTTCAGGTCAAGTCAAAGTGGAATTCACTGCTTCCTGGTACGTTCGACATGCTGTATTCTCGTGTTCACAGCTTATATACAGCATACTAGGCTGTGCAGCTGAAGCGCCCAAGCTTCATCTGCTTATATCACATGAAGTCTCGGACGAAGAGACAGGATGAACAGCGCAAACCTCATCATATCGCCTTAAGATGGCCTTAACCGTCCCCGCTTCACGCCAGGACCAATGAACAAGCAAACAATGACCATGCATGCACATAATTACGATACAAATACATACAAGAAAGTTCTGTCTAACATAGGGCAGTGCCCCAGCGGACAATAAACACTGACTCAAAAAAAATAAAAATAAAAATAAAAAATGAAGTCTCGGTCCATGACTTCAACCGGCCCGTGTCTGCAGCCTTGCAGCCTTGATAGACCATAATCTCCCCTGGCCTTCGTTGCATTCCCACATGCATGACGAGTACCGCCTCTAGCCCGGCATTTCACTGACATGAGGCAATACGTCAATTTCAACCAATGGACTTGAACAGATATCAAATCAAGTTCGTAGCCTATCGAGAAGTTGTACACAGCGTACATCCGAAGATCCGCTCACTACTCGCTGACCGTCATCTCGATTCCAACAGACAGACCACACACCAGCCATATGCCCTGTCCATTTCGCGATGACCTTGCATGTGTCGATGTCCCACGACCTCACTCCGCCGTCCTTACTCCCGCTAATCACTTTCTTCCCATCTGGGGACACTGTTATACTGATCACTCCACTGTCTCCATCCCGCCAGTCTTCCCCTATCTGTTTCCCGCTCTCCAGGTTCCATACCCGCAGCGCGCCATCATCTGAACAAGTAATGATGCGCTGTCCGTCAGGCGGGTGTACGACGTCCCAGACGTGATGAGTGTGTCCTTCAAATTTCTGGCGAGGCGTTATTGCTGATATATTTTTCGTTTTAGTAGTGGGTGAAGGCATGCTCCAAAATCCCTACTACCGAGTGCAGCACCGTCTCAGCTTTCATCTAACATATCAAATTCATCACTTACCGAGGACGACAACGACGGGCAGACACCAGGGCACGACGGGCGTTTCGGTCAAGGTCAGTGTTGAGTTCACTGCTTCCTGGTACGTCTGACATGCTGTATCCTCGTGTTCACAGCTTATATACAGACTAGGCTGTGTAGCTGAAGCGCCTAAGAATCATCTGTCTCGTGACACATTCAATATACAGTAACTTCTTCTGTCTTTATCATTCACCCATACCCGGTGTGAGTGTCCTCTGATTTTTCTATCTCATTAGGACGGGCAACGACATCAAGTTCAAAGGTTGCTGCATATAGCTGCGTGTCATTGTACATCATATACAAGCTGGCTATCTGCCATCTAACATCGTATGGGATCGCTGCTGGGTCCATCTGTCTCAGATCTGTCTGGCTCATCCTAAGGTCATTACTGCCAAATTACTACCGCCAGATGTCTGATGAACAAGAAAAGTACTTTAGATTTATCACAACTGTGATTCTTTGGAACGTCATTGCTTTCCACTACCACCAGTAGGGTTTCATACAACTCAAAAATCACCATCCTCGATCTCCTCACGCTCACTCGTCATTGGGTTCATGATCCTCAGAAGTCATAGTCAGAGTTATCATCTCTGTCATCGTCGTCCTCGAAGCCATCGTCGTCCTCGAAGTCATCGTCATCACCCTTTGCATGATCTCGTCGTTCAAAGGCACCGTCCCGCGCGTCTTCTGCATCTCTGGCGAGTCGGAGGCCGCATGCATTGCGTATCCCCCGCCCGACCCATCTGTCGTGCAGCCCCTCAAGTGTCAGGCGACACGGCTGTTCGTCACTTTCATCACCAGTACACGCAACGCCATATGAAATACCGACAGCAGCGAGGAGCAGGCGTATGCTCCTTACGAGTGATCGCCGGTACATGAGCATGGCCTCGGGGTCGGTTTCAGCAGGTTTTTCCAATTCTCCGAACAACGCCTCGTGAATGTCCAGAACTCCTTCCTCGTACAACTCCACTTTTCCACGCTCAACGGCACGCCACTTTTTGCCATAGTTTGTGACGGAGTCATCATAGTTACCCCAGCATAAATTCTGCCAACCCTTGCGCGTGTGCACATCTGGCGGAAGGGCCTTTCTGAGTTCTTTTTTGATGACAAGTGCATCGCCTGCCGTTGTAGATGGGCGATGATGGATCTTGTATCCGAGTGAGTAGAACCACTGGACTAGTGTCATACGCGAGCGGAGGTAGTATTGGAAATGCACATCAATGTACATTGGCGCGGTAGGTGAGTAGATCCTGACTGTGTGATCAGTGGAACGCAGCTATGGATCATCGTTGATGTCAGCCATGAAATACATTGTCAGCAAGCTGTACGCACAGTATCGGGGTCGATGTCTGATTCGAGTACCGTTTCATTGTATACAACAGTAATAAATTTTTGGAGGGAGCCGTGCTCCAAACCCATCTCCTTCTCAATCTGAGAAACACAGGCTTTGGCTTTGTCGAAAAGCCAAGCTTCACCAGAGCACTTGTCGCCCTTATGCACTGAAGGGTCTTCTTTAGGGCCATCCTCACAGTCCTTGCCTGGCACCGGAACAATTGTGCGGTATTTTTGATTGGTTTGGAGGCGCTCTGTGTTGCGGGGGTAGGGTGAAGTAAGGGACCAAAGTGATGTTCCGCCAGTTCAAGTCCTTGTAGATCTGTTTTAGCTGCTGCTGAAGGATCAGTGCTATTGGCACAGTTTTGAGTCATACTGGGGAGGTATCAAATAAAGAGGGGCTGGGGCTTGGAAGGAGGTAGGAACTCGGTCATCGATTCAAGGACTAAGGTAGACATATTGAAACGGAGAATCAAAGGTGAACGTGTTGTGGAGCATGTTACGAGGAGTGATTGTGTAGAAAAGTATGAGTACGTACGAGAGTGACGCCGAGAGTCATATCTTGATAAGAGGGAGATACGATCAAGCCTCGCAGAGCCTGGCTAGGCCTGGCTAGTTGAGTGATTCGGATCGATAGAAAAGAGCCGACGAAGGGCATGGCGCAAAATGAGTCTTCACGTGATCGTGACACCACCGAGTCCAGTTAATTAGGGGCCGGGGGATAAAATAATGCACAGCTGGTACAACTCATAGCCTGCGGTAGCAGCCCCGTCTGTAAATTCTATGAAACTCATTGCTGAGTCGGACGGTCCACGCGCTTCGCCCGATGCACATGAATCATATGTAGTACCATCACAAAACCAGATTTCGTCATATATTCATTCAACTTTATACCGTAGTACTATTACAACCATAAAATGTATTTTCTACGACTCAAATTCATCATCCATCTCCTCATCCTCGCCTTCCTCTTGATCACTACATTCATCATCCTCAGAGTCGTAATGTTCATCATCTTCAGAGTCGTATGGGTTGTCGTAACGTTTCGCCTCTTCTCGTCGTTGCTGGGCACCTTTCCGCTCTTTTTCTGCATCTCCTGCGAGTCGCAGGCCACACGCATTGCGTATTCCCCGCCCGACCCATCTGTCGCTCAACCCTTCAAGCATCAACTGATTCGGCTCCACATCACTTTCGTCATCAGTGCATGCAACCCCATAGGAAAGACCCACAGCGGCGAGGAGCAGCCGTATGCTCCTTACGAGTGATCGTCTGTATGCGAGCATAGCCTCAGGGTCGGTTGGCGCAGGTTTTTCCAAGTCTCCGAACAAAGTTTCGTGCACATCCATAACTCCCTCCTCGTACAACTCCATTTTTGCTATCTCAACGCGGCGCCATTTTCTGCCATAGTTGCCATTCGAGTCATCATAGTAACCCCAGCATATAGACTGCCACCCATTGTGCGTGTGGACATCCTGGGGACCTCCCTGGCCTAGCCCTTTGTCGATGGTACATACATCCCCCGCCGTTGCAGGTGGGCGGCGCTGGATCTTGTACCCGAGTGAGTAGAACCACTCGATCTCCGACATACGCGCGCGGCAGTGGTATTTGAAATGCACGTCGATGTACATTGGCGTACTGGGTGAGTAGATCCGGACGATGCTCTCAGTAGATCGTGGCTATCGATTACCCATCGATACGATAATATCAGCCATGAGATACAGAGTCAGCAAGCTGTACGCACATCTACATCGTCAAGTTCTGTGTTGTTATACACAATGGTGATGCATTTCTGGAGGGTGCCCGCCTCCAAGTCCATCTCTTCCTCGATCTGAGAAACGCAAGCTTTGATGGAGCTCGAAAGCCAAATTTCATCGAGTTCGACGCCGTATCCGTACTCATCTTCATCAGAGTCTTCCCCAGAGTCTTCGTCTAAAACTGAGCCGTATTCTTGATTGGTTTGAAGGCGGTTGATGGCATAATTGGTCCATGCGCGCTGTGTGGCCCGAGTTGGGTGAAGCAAGGGGCCAAAGTGGTGTTCTGCCAGCTCAAGTCCTTGAAGTTCAGTTTTAGCGGCTGAAGGATTAGTACTGTCGGCACTGTTTTTAGGCATAACTGGAGAGTGAAATACGAAAAAGCCTCGCAGAACTTGAGTATATAATTCGGATCGATGGAGAAGAACCGACGAAGGGGCGCGCCAAGACTGTGACGCGCTAGTGATTTTGTCTTCACGTGATCGTGATTCGTGACTTCGGCCAGCAACTTGAAGTTTGAAGTTTGAACTACTGACCACCTAGTATACTAAGAGCGACAATTGTCCGTTATACATGCTAGTCATATCTTCCTCTTTTCGAGACCGTGTCAGAGCTATCTTCGAGTGTCCGTATTATCCCCCTCCGCCTGCTGTGAAAAGACGCGATGGGTGAAGAAGAAGAATCCGTCCCTGAAATCTCCCTTCTCGAGGTCCCTATCCCATCGTTAAGCCTGAACAAATATACGTTTTAGACGACCCATACCGTCTGTCATTTGGTATCTCCTTTTCGGCGTACTTTCGGCCACACTCGTGCCAGGCTGCGTTTTCATTGCGTCCATAGAGTTGCTCGCGGATCTCCGGTGTAACTCTTGTAGCAACAGGATCTTAGTGTCTAGGAACGCTTCCTCCGCGTCCAGATTTTGTAGTTGCTCGAGAAGGATAGGAATACGGTCAACGACTGTAGACGCGAGCACGCTAAGCGGGGTGCAAGAGAGGTCGTTTCTGGGATGCTGCATGGTGAATCAAGGAGCCTGCGGTAAAACTAATCACTGGTGGCGAGACGAGAGAAGAATTTACCAAGAATAAGTTTGTGAAATGGGAGGCTGTTGACGGAGGCCCGCCACAAACTTGTACTACTTATAACCCGAGGTGGGTTCAATTGGAACCACCAGTTTTGATTGATATTGATTTATTTGACCATCATGTTCCAGGCTGCAACAAGATCTAGAAACATCATTCGCAATTTCGCAACCACCAACTCAGTCTGGCATCGGACTGACACGATGATCACTGCTTCTTGAGCATCATTCTTTTCGCGCAGAATAATAACTATATCTCGCTCTCCGTAAATGGTCCAGATAACAACTCGTCATGTGCCCTCCTTGCTGCATCATCATTCAATCCTGCGCGGATCGCTTCATCTCTTGCCCTACATGCATCGACGCCTTCGACGACCCGAATTTCCCCTTGCCGTCTAGCCCCCCTTACGAGCTCTGATGTACGCAATAGCCGAAGATCCTGGTAATCAACGAACACTCGCGACAATAGTTCTGTCGACAGCTGGCCGGCAGATGGGTTATGCTTCCTCAGGAGCCGCATAAAATGGTAGACGTCTTCGAAGGCTTGGTTGGCACCTTGGGCCAGATGCTAAGTACGACGACATCGATCAGCGCCGTGAAAGATGATGGTTACATTAATATGCACCGGACTTGTGGGGTGAGCCGCATCACCCAAAAGAGCAATTCTTCCCTTGAACCATGATTTAAGCTCAGGCCGATCATAGAGACCATACTGGGAGGCGTTCATTTCGTGTGTTCGAGGCTATACGAGGGAACTGACCTTCACGATCTTCTGGCCGGTCTTTACCAGATCTCCGGCTCCGAACCCCCAAGCAGAGAGAGGCCCTTCTCGGATTTCGTTCTGTTGCTCTACGTTCTGCGTTCTCCAATCCTCCTTAGCCTCAGCTCCCCGAGTAGTGATGCTGAACCCCAAGATGATCAAACCTCGAACACAGGTAATTGAGATATACTTACGCCCATGAATATTTGTCTTCCGCAACAGGGTACGCAATCATATGACGACCATCCCCATAATTATTTACCAGCGCAAGTCTCCCCTGGAGTGCAGGCGGTGTAGGAGACACCCCACCGACCTGCGAATCACTCGAATATCGGCCTCTACACCAAGACCGTCACCAAAAGGGGCTCACCCGCACCATCCCCGTAAAATCTGCCTTCTCTTTCCCAAAGAGCGCAATCCGGGTATTGCTATGCAACCCATCGCAACCTACGACAAAGCTCGCCGTGTCCTTGGCACCATTCGCGAACGTGACTTCTACTGCATCCTCGCTTTGCTTGAATTCAATGGCCTGGTGTGCCCACTTAATCTCGACGCCGTGCTTCTCGGCCGTGTCAATCAAAAGTCGCTGAAACTCTGGGCGCCGGACTCCAATAACGGGAAAGCCAAATCGTTCTCGCATCGTAGCTGGCGAGATATCGCTATCAACGAGGATGTCCTCCTCTCCATCCAAGCATGAACAGTGAATCATCCTATCTGGAGAATGGCCGGGTATCTGTGTTAGGATCTCTGGGATGAGCGATAGGACACGGACACCGTTGGGCTGTAGCCTGTGTAATGTCTGGCGTTTAGTACGGTACGGGTTGACGAGGGAGAGGAGTGTTTACGTGAAACCGAGTCCACCTTCTCCTGGACCGGGAAGTCTTTCGTATATGATGGGGTCATAGCCTCTTGTCTTCAGGAAAACTGCAAGCACAGGACCGGCAATGCCAGCACCCACTATTATGACCCTGGTGTTCGCCATCTGCGAAGGCGCTCAGTGGTGTCCTTTCAAGTTGCCAGTAGAGCAGCTGGAAAGGACTAAGTAGTGCTGGAGTGTTCTCTTCGGACCGGGTCGTGATCAGCCATTGCGTGGCGGCCCGCCGATGGCATACCTCGATCGGGGCTCCGGTAGGTCAGATCACCCTCGGATACAATTGGCGTACCTTCCTCTTAACTCCTAGCCAATAGCCCGAATGATAGGTAATGTCTACTTCCCTGGCGTGATGATGAACGCCGGGGCAGTAAACGATTTATCACGAATCCCAAATGTCAATCATGACGCGATTTGTTCACGTTCATCGGATACCTCACAATCTTGGAAAGATTGAAACCGCAACTCCGTCCTCGTACAACTCTACTTTGCCCAACTCGACGCGGTGCTAATTTTTGCTATAGTTTTCACTGGAGTCATCATAGTAGCTCCAACATAAGGTCTGCCACACATTGCGCGTGTGCACATCTGGAGGACTACCCTCACCGAGTTGCCTTGAAATGACAGATGCATTGCTTGCCGTTGCGGGCGGACGGTGCTGGATCTTGTACCCGAGCGAGTAGCACCAGTCAACTTCTGACCAACGAGGGCGACAACAGTAGCGAATGAGTACGACAATGTACATAGGCGCAGTGGGTGAGTAGATACGGGCAATGATAGTAGCAGAGCGTAGATATTGATCACATGGTATCAGCCATAAAATATAATGTCAGCGAGTCATACGCACGTCATCATCGTCAAGTTCCGTACTGTTGCGTAAAATAGTTGTGCATTTCTGGAGGGTGTTTGCCTCCAAGCTCATTTCCTTCTCGATCTGAGAAACGGAAAATTTGATGGAGTTGGCAATGTATTCTGAATCCTCGTCTTCCTTAGAGTCTTCCTCAGTTCTATCCTTAGAGTCCTTGCCTGATACCAGGACAACTGTGCGGTATTTTCAATTGGTTCGGAGGCGATTGATGGAATTGCGCTCTGTGTGGCCGATGTTCTGCCTGTTCAAGTCCTTGTCTATCGGTTTTAGCTGAAGAATTTGTACTGACGCTGTCCTTAGGCATGCTGGAGAGTGAGATGGGATCAAGCCTTGTGAACTGCGCGCGTCGATAGAAATCGATGGATAGGAACTGAAATAAGTCGATTGCGAGGCATGTTGAGTACGTGTTTCGTCATCACATGATCGTTACACATGCATTCAATTGGAACAAGAGCTTCGTCACGTACGCACGTACGTTATGGATGCAATTTGCTCCGAGCGAGACCCTCAAAGTTATCTTCGACTGTCTAGAATATCTCCCTGTTGAGACATGTGGTCGGGGACGAGGAAGAAGAGGAATTTGCCTTAGAAATTCCTCTTCGAGGCGTCAGTCGAGGCGGCGGAACGTTCTAGCAATTGCCAATGGCACTCGGAAAGTACTTTTATACCATGTTCAGCTTTCTATTAGTAATAGGCAACATTAGGTCCTCACAAAGGTACTTATTTGACACTTTTCTCGCGACCTCGAGCTGAAGCAGAAAAAGTTATTGCTTTTCGAGATGGCCCCATCTGAATTGACGACCAGTATAAATGAAGACCAGCCGCCAATTGCTACCACCTCACTTCTCATAGCACCGCCTTCAGCTGACAATGACGCGAAACAAGTCACCCTGGGGTCCTCTGAGACTGTCAAACTCGACGCTTTGGGACCGATAGTAGTGAATAGTGATGGGGTGAGCCACCCATTTTGACGCTCGCACGAATAATGGCCTCATTGTAACTTCAAGACTTTATCGAGGATTGCAAACTGGGAGAAAATGACAGAGGAGGAGAAAGAAAGAACGATACGTGTCGTTGCGGCTCGGAATAGGTGTGTTATGATTACGCCGGGAGCGGAGAGCCGCTGACACCGCTTTACTTCACTGACTTAGAGCTCGGCTTGCAAAGCAAGCTGACAAAATACAATGAAACCATGGCATTTACTACTGAAAGACATGCGCATCAATATATCTACTACTAGAACAGTTCCAAAACTATCTGGCTCCAAAATCAGCTCTGAAACTTATTACTGGATCGCCAACCTTGACGCCATGTTCATGGCAGTACATCCAGATGGAACAGTAATAAGTATGCCTATCGTCATATACTTAACTTGCGCCTTCTCGGAAAGTCAATCACCATGATTTGATTATTAGGAGGCATACGTTTGTTTGTCGGGAAGCTTGGTACGTATTAAGAACTTCTCAGCTCGCTAACTTAGAACCCCTGCTCACTCACGCTTAATGTTATCATAGATTTGCCAAGTGCTGGACTCTTATCTCGACTGGCCAACTGACATTGTTCAGATCCAACGCTTCTAAGAATATCTCATAAGATAACAGCTGACACTATATCAATGCTTTGTCGACCAGTCGAGCTCCTCTCCCCATTATCTTTTGCGATTAATGTCTAGCGAGCCATCATATTCTGAGTTCAAGCCAATCCTCGGTACGTCTGTTCTTTGAATGCTTCTATCACACATAAACAAACTCTTTCGTTAAGCCCAGAGCGTTGGTTATGGTGTTGTTGTCGGTATGAAGTCTATATCACGGTTCGAGACCTTTGGCTGACTATTTTCAGGTGTGGGGTTCTTCTTCGCAGCCGTCATGCTTATCTTGACCACACTTCAACGCAAATTCTTCAAATTCTCTCCTGCCTCTTCGGAAGAATTCACGGTACTACATGTTTCAACGCTACATTTGTTTAGATTTCTAATGTATCACTAGAGCGCTTCCCGGAGTGTTAAGGTACGGTTTGCATTTTAATTAACCTATTCCGCCAGCTCATGATCAATGAAAGCCTGGTCTAGTATGCTGTGGCATGTGCGTACTAGTACCGGCGGGGTTTCCGAAGTGTTGACTTGCATGTAGCGTAAGCGCGTGGACGTGGAGTGCCACGCTTTTGCAATCGAGCAGTGCTGCGTATACATTCGGTAAACACTTTTTCATTTCATTTACGAGATGCGTGTTAATTCCAGTTGAAAGGCGTAAGCGGTCCTTGGTAGGTAGCTTTTCGTTTTGCGGCTACCTTTTTAACTCACCATTTTGACTTTGTGTAGGTGGTATGGTGCCGGTGGTACAATTCAGGTTGCTATGTTTGGCATGGTTGCCTCCAAGGTAAAGCAGAACGCCAACGGAGCCCATACATTCCTTGAGGTATGGATTACAGACTTGGAAGGTTTTCTGGCATGCTCAACTTGAATGACATTTAGATTGTCAAGACCCGATTTGGGACAAGTGCTCACATTCTCTTTACGTTTTATGGATTTCTGTGTATCCTACTAGTCTGTGGGTCTCTGCTGCGTATGTGCATATATTATTTGCTGGGCTATCACTAATAACCAAGATAGTTGGAGGCTCTGCGACTGTCAACGCTTTGACTGGCATGAACATTATTGCGGCGTGCTTTCTTCTTCCTATTGGCATTGCTGTTTATGTCATCTTTGGTGGCCTGCGCGCGACATTCATCTGCGACTGGAGTCATACCATCATCCTGTTTATTATCATCTACATATTTACATTCCGAGCATAGTAAGTGATCTCTCCTGCGAGAGGCCAGTTGATCATGGATTACCTTAATAGCGGAACATCACCTGCTATTGGTAGTGTCTCCAGACTCTATGATCTCTTAGAACAGGCTAGCATCAACGCACCAGTGGTAGGTAATCAAGGGGGCAGCTACCTGACCATGAGTTCTAATCAAGGCCTCGTGTTTGGCGCCGTCACAATCCTTTCTGGCTTTACTGGAGTCGTCTGTGATCAAGGTCAGCTCTAATGTATGTGTGTCTAGTCCGCATTTTTCTAACGAAACATTCCGCGTAGGTTACTGGCAAAGGGTGAGCCTCCCACTTTGCTATACTGCACCTGGCTGAGTGAAGTAGGCAATAGCAAGCCATCCAGAATCGACCACCAAGGCATACGTTAGTTTCGCATTTGCGGGCTTTGAAACACCCTGACAGATTGACAGATGCTTGGTGGTATTTCTTGGTTCGCTGTTCCATGGGCATTTGCATCTTGTCTCGGTCTGAGTGCTCGCGCTCTTCTTACCAATGCAAGTCCAGTTCCAGTATACCCCACGGATAACAGCTCACCAATATTTGTAGCCAAACTTTCCCACCTATCCTTCACCGCTTTCTCCAAGTCAGATTAGCGCAGGTCTTGCGGCTCCTGCTGCAGCTGCTGTCCTCATGGGCAAAGGGGGCGCAATCACGGTGCTTCTCGTAGTATTGTACGTATAGACCATGATGGAGGGATGCAATATTCTGACAGGATATCAGTATGGCCGTAACTTCAGCTGCGAGTGCTGAGCTCATCGGCGTATCCAGTCTATTGTGAGTTGTTGAGTCATTCTTCCAAAGGCAGTCACCTGATCGTACATGATCAGTTCGTATGAGTAGGTGACACATGACGTTGACATTGTTGCTGGGAATGACCTCATACATCAGCATCTATCGGACCTATTTCCGCCCCAATGCAACTGGCGACGAGATAGTGAGGGTCTCTCACTACTTCATATGTTTCTGGGCTGTCTGGATGGGCTGTTGGGCGACTATTGTGAGCATTCACCCCACTGTTTCCAGCACAAGCTCAAACTCAACAGCTGCACGCTGGTAACATCGACCTTGGATGGGTGAGTGAGATTGCTCTCGATGCTGATGGCCTTAACTGACGAACTCACCGGAAAAGTTATATTATGTCCAGTAAGGTTTTGATTACTTCCAGATGAAACATGTGCTAAAACTATTTGGGATTACAGAGGCTCTATACTCAGCCCTGCAGTTATTCCCATTGGACTTACTGTTTCGTGGTCTAAGCTCACAAAGGCAGGCGTTTTCTGTGGTGCTATAGGCGGTGCAATTTTAGGAATGTTGGCTTGGATGATCGGATGCTGGAAGATATACGGTATGATATTTCCCGAAATTGAACCTACCTCATGTTGATCAATTTCAGGCCAAATCAACATCACTAACCTTGCACAACCGTACTCAGCCTTATGTAGCAGTCTTACAGGATTATTTTTCTCTGGAATCCTAACGGTGGGGGTGTCGCTCTTGAGTTCGTTTTTGCTGTCTCGCAATGTACAATGCTTATTTATTTCTACAGACCCTGCAGACTATGATTTCTCGGGCACCCGAGCAATTTCTACCTTGGAAGATACGAATAGAAGTGGCATTTCGGGCGATGACACTCCAAACAGAGCATCGGACACCGAATCACAGAAAGAGCAAAAGGAAACCAGTGAAAAGGAGTCATCGTTAAAGCGACCTGTTTCCGACGTCATCGAAGTCGGGCTGGAGAAGGATGAGGAAACACGCATCAGATCTCTTAAGACGGTGTTCAGGAGGGCGCTTATATATTCGTCAATTTTAACTTTCATTGTCGTCATACTTGGTCAGTATGGCAGCACTATTCAATTTGCTGCATCGCTGATAGAGAATCAGTCCCGCTGCCCATGTTCTTCTCTCATTATGTCTTCAGCAAGAAATTCTATACCTTCTGGACAGCCTGCTCGATGTAAGTGTTCAGTGTCAACATGCGGTTCGATGGAGTGCTAGCTGACTTGATTTCGATAGTATATGGGCTTTTGCGAGTGGGACATTTTGCATCATCTTGCCCTTGTGGGAGTCCAGAAGTGAGATCGGCACGATATTAGGTTCAGCTTATGGATCAATCCGTAGACCGAGTTCACTTTAAACGTTATTTCATGTATATCTCTTCTCGTTGGCATCAAGTACTTAAGTCGCAATGTATATCTCAGAGTCAGATCGGCGGCCAGACCTTCCTCAGACATGAAACGCCTTCACACCCGTAAGCTGGAGTTGAAAGCTGGATCCGAGTTATGATTCAAAACCAGTTGCGACTATCCCACATGCATGAAAGTTTACTTTTTTGTGTGCCGGCAAATGGTATCTGACCTGGACTCGTTATTGTCTTTGTCGTGTGAGCTTGAAGAAGTCACTACCAAATATGGCTACTCCACCTTCCCGAATTAGCATTCGGCTTGCTTTGGCAGCGTGGGTCCGACATCATCATGACCGCCTTCGTCTTCCACCTTTTTGTTAACACAAACTTGGCTCATGGACTCTTTGCCAATGCCGTCCCAACAGAAATCTATTTATTTGCGAATACTAGGGATGGGGTAAATTTTAGGTGTCGTTCATCCGCCCACCCATAAGCCTGTCAATTTCTCTCAGAATTTCCGCACCACAATACTCTCGGCTCATAACCCAGGTGCTTCATCAATTTCTTCCACCAAAATGTGGAGCTCGGACAATGCTGCATCCTCCCGTCACCCTTCCAATCTCCCGATTGAACTGCACCTGCACAGGATGCCATCAAATGGTGCATGTACTAGCGCTTCCAGTTCATCACACGCAACCTGCACCGAACAACTCACACCTCCTCCTGAAGCGCACTATTCATCCATGCAGCTCCAGGATGATATGTTTGCACAGTTCTTCGGAGCCAAACCTCACCGAACGAGACCTCTCGAATGCCATGCTCCCCCGCCCTACTTGCGCGAGGGGGAGTTTGAGAAACTTCCAGTGTATACTGCTTGCCCATGTCCGGGTACAGATGACGAGCCAATAACACTCGCTCGCTATTTGTTTGTCTATGGTTTCTGTACGTCCGTTATCACAACATATATCACGTGATATGAACCTGACGTCCACCTCAGTCTTTCCAATATTTTGGATAATAGGAATCGCTATATTCTTCTTGCCACTTCGACCCTCTTCCGATTGGGAGACTGGAAAGTCGGCAGAGGAAAAGCAAAGGTTGCTTGCGGAGATGCGGGTTTCAGAACTTAAATGGGCGAAGCGCTGTTTATATGCCTTGGTTGCACTTTTGGTTCTCGCTATAGTGTTGGTGACTACCTTGGTTTTGGTAAAACGGTGAAGAGGCGCTGCACAACCTTGCACGCCTCTTTTTCTTGTCATACAGCTATTAAGCTGCATTGTACCTCTACCCTGCGTCACCTGACCTTCATTTTTTGGTTTCTAGTACTATAGCAGCGTTGAGTTTTTTATCTATCTATCAGCAACTCTTCCGTACCACTTGCAAACCCTATGTTTATACAGATAGATAACATACTGTAGTGTACATTAAAATATCTGGCCTCCCACTTTCTTACTCCTCCGCCAAGAAGGGGTTATGTAAGCTTAAGCCTAATCAGCAACGCTCAGGACAGGCTGCTAGCGCTTCGGTCCAGTGCAACCATCTCGTTTTACCAACTCGCAGCCTCAATCTCTCAGCAGTATCATGGTAAACTGTGAGAGGCCTAACGTTTCATCAGGTTGACTGGTGTTGGTGCTCATTGGTGTGATAGTTGCGGAGCTCAAGCAGAGGGCAGAGAAGGCCAAAGATGCGAGCGTCACAAAGATGGTGAACACCAGGGACAAATATTCTAGTGTTCCCTCCTCAAAAACGACCTGGGATCCTAACTACAAGCGCGCACCTCCAGCTGCTTCAGCAGGGTCGGCGGGTAATGGCCCTCCACCGCCTCCGCTGCGAACACGTCCAGATGATTCTGGAAGTACGAGAAACTCGGTTGCTTCACTCCCTCCTCCTTTGGCTTACGGTTCACGGCCCGATGTTCATTCCCCACCATTGCACAGCCATATTCCTCCTCCACCCACACGCACTAAGAGCTCTTACCCGTCGCAGACGGGATCAGCAGATCAGGTGAATCACATAGATTGGGCGAATTTGTCGCAGGAAGACAAGGATGAATTTTTCGGTTGGCTGGACGAATTCTTCTCCCGATATCTCGATATCGCTCTGCCTTCCAGACGCCCATCTGTAGTAATGAAAGGAAGTTCTGCGGTCATAGCGCAGTCAGCTGGACCTCCGGTGTGTATCAGTATGGTCTCATGTTTTTGCCACCTATCTGAGATCCTGCCGCATAGCCGGTCAATCTCAATTCACGGCCGTCCTGGTGAATGGCCACCTGTATTTGGTGCTGTACCTCCGTACTGTTTTCCTTCATTGTGAATCACTCCTGTGGGATCCTCACCTGACTACAGGTGTTCAGAATAGTCCACTTTGTGAAGCCTGAAAGATTAATGCATAAATATTAAAGAATGACTGCGAACAGTTGTGAGGCTACAACAAGACAACCGAGATAGAAATACAAGAGAGGAATTTGGGATATAGGTATTCCGATGTGGGATGACATCCGGACGTCAGCTAGGTACATCATGCGCCCATGTCCGACATGAAACAGCACTCGACTATGTTTACCGTGACGGTCGTACACAGTCAGAATGAGATGTTCGGTACAAGTTCTGCACCCGTCGGTCTTCTGTCACCACCTACGAAAACGTGAATGCCTGTTGATAGGGGAATATGAGGACTCGTACCGAAGGACACCCGCAGTTTCGCGCTGTCTTGTGCATATGAGATGCACTCGTCTTACACCGTGAGGAGCCGCAGTCGGAGGTCACTCCTGTGAAATATCTTCCATGGAAGTGCTGCAGTGTGAAGAAGTCCACAAACATTGTGTTAGTGCCTAGTTGAGTTCCACTCGAGGATGAAACCTACACCACACCCTGTCCAATAGTCACCGACGCTGCGATGCATCACAAGTGTAAGGGGTAACCTTGTACGACTTTGGAATCAACACTCACATTTCGTGGAGACACATCAAGTTTTGCAAAGAGCGCTAGTGGTGGCGCAACAACAATGGATTCCGAGCCGTACCGACGAAGACAAGGTTCGAAGAGATTGGGGATGCTAGGACCAGTTGGCTCTAGGCTATTATATATTGACCCGCTAAGCGAAAGTGTGGCAAGATGCGTATGCCAACCCATGATGGTATCCCGCATGTAATATAACAACACACGAAATAAAGAGCGTCGAGTATACTAAATATTGTCGAGGACCATCCCGCGGTCAATTTGCCCCAGATGCGTCATTCCGCGCCGAGCCGGTATTCGGATCACAGAAATCTTATCTCGTCGCAAGGAACATCGATAACAAAGTCAGAATGACATATTCGGACAACTTTACTGGATTAATACTTTAGACGTTAGACGTTTGACAACGGCGGCACACAGGGTCAGATGTCGGATATTTTCTCCCTCCTAGAGATTCAGAAGGATGTATAATAGTGTATACAACGTGTGATTTGAATTTCCGAGGAGACAGATCACGGGTGCGCTGCGTGACGAACAAGCCGTCGTGAAGGGCGCAAGCTCAAGGCTTGCTACCAACTCATAAGAAGATGTAGTACATAATAAGTATGTACAAGTCTGATCATGATTCTAATAGTTCGAATACTTACGTGCGCCTGTGCATGATCACAAGGCCCGTAAGGGTGTCGAAGGCCGGCCTACAGCGCCCACTGACCCACTGAGTCACACCCCAGTCGGAGATGAGAATTCAGTCCGAATATTCGAATCCCTTGGATCAATTGAGATCAATGCATCCGCAACATCTCCGCCTGGATGACTAGCCGCGGAAATAAGTATTCCGCCACGAGCATTATCACCTACTTCCATTCCATGGTATTTGGAAGACCCACGATCGTCCACAGGAACACGTATCGTGTGTGCAAAGGAGTGTGGTATGATGTTTCACCCAGTCACGGACCGATTGAAAGATAGCGGAGCGTTCGAACAAACATGGAGGCACGCCAATGCGCTGAGCCTGCAATCACCTTTCTGTCCGGTTACCTTTTGCCACGAAAGCATAGCCCGAATAGCCCAAACTATAGGGACGCCCTGAAGGGTCCTACTAGAGTGACTCTCAAGCAACCGCCGGCTAAACAAGGTTCATACAATTGGGCCGAGTACGGTGACGCAAACTGGGTGGTTCTTATCGAGCTGCGAATGACATCAATTCAGGTGTCAATTCAGCAAGTCACTTAAGTTGGACTGCTTTACGTTTGTCATTATTAATCCCATAGTCAAGAGGCGGCGACCAATGAACATTGTTTCAGCTTCAAAAAATGGGAGCGTAGCCGGGATGAGCATTGCTATCACATCACATGAACATGTAAAAGCAGCCCACCATCAACTGACGTCCCATGCCCATGCAGCCAGCTCACATTTTGCCACGTAAGGACCAAGTACATTCGTGTATTAAGGGTGATAATGTTGGTGGGGTATATGCCATTGATGATTGATCCACTGTATATGGAACAATCTGTAGCCTTGCGTAGAGCGTACATGCGGCTGGTGCGGACGAGATCCGCCGGGTATAACAATTACGATGTGAATCATGTCTGATTCGTTTATGTGGTTCAAGTTGGTAGGAGTCGGACCATAGATACATAGGAGTCTGTGATCATGAGTGACTCGGAGAGATGAATAAGTTATGTACATAGTACTTACTAGTTAGTCCATCTTCTTTGAGGTCTAACCAAATCGGAAGACGGTAAAAGTTATGGCATTGGCAGCGTTCGGATGATTCGTCGGGAGTGAAAACCTGATCATTGAGTCATAGCAGCGAATTTTGGATTGGTGAACACGAATTGAAGGGTGAGTGCTAGTAGCAGTTGAAGTTATCCAAGTAGTGCCATGGTTCGGCTCTGTCCGCCGGGTTGTACCGGGAACGTGCGCCGTTAGGTGGCAGCCGCCGACAGTTCGCAATGTCCATGAACGTTGTTGCTACTTGGCTACTACTGTTTGATTTTACCCAGGCCAAGCTGAAATACTTGTTTCATAGGAATTGTTGCCTTGACTACCATAGGACTGTGACGAGCCCTTTGATTTTTTTCTGCACTACAGTGAACACACTGGTGTGGATTGCAATCCGAATTTCCGAGTCAGATTCAGAAGTTGGTGAAAGGTCAACGTTGTGAGTTAATTCCCGAAACTACTATTATAACTTACTTACAGCTTATCAAGTCTCGGATCTCAGCATAGGGCTAACCCTTGCCTTGTCTATGCATGATAACAATGTATCAATTTTCGCACTAGTGTCGTTTCATGCAAGCGTTCACATTAATGATGTTTGCTCATTACGTGGCAGATTGCGATAAATCGTGCATCGAGTAGTCGTGCCGATCAAGGCTGAGGTCGAATGAGGACTAGCTTATTGGGCATCTAGGGGCGGAACATCTTGCAGTATTACTGACAAAATTCCAGATCATTATGACGTTTGCGCAACAGTTGAACCGCAACGTTGCACAGGCAGTTAGTGATGGAAACTTGGATGTTGATCACATCAGTCACGTTTTCTACATCCCGTGAGTTGCCCGTGAGCGTTAGTTTGTTTTTAACCTCATTTGACGCCTCGTTGTCCGTGGCCGCAATCAGTTGCTAGATGTGTTCCTTGAGGCCTATATCCCATCGGGTGCCGCACCCCACTCAGAAATTTGAGCTTCTGTGATAGTGTCGTTGATATGGACTTGCAACAATGGCATCAAACTGAACAACATCGATAAACCCATGGCTAGTCCCCTTGGCGGCTTGGCCTCAACTTCAATGCGGGCGGCGACTGAGTGGCCTGTAGCTTAATGACATCTTGTTTTCCTCGCATACACGCAGAAATTATATCCTACGGAATTTCATGATATGTCCCAGTTGATGAGTTATCTTTCCTCCTATCTCGATGCACTCCTCATGCCATCCGTAGTACGCCTTCTGCCTACCTCGTGTTTGTTGCCTCGATGCTCCACCATGGAACGTGGTGATCATTCTCTGTTACGGCTTTGAGCTAAGCAAGGGGAAACACATGACTTAATGATCATCTTTCCCTTCGTTGTGGTACTGTCGCCGAGCGCTAAGAAGTTCCAGGAACCGGTGGCCACGAAGCCAGACTTTTGTGTTTAGATGAGTTCTGATATGTGCTAACACTGATCAACATAGATTCAGGCTATCGCTGCGGCTCTACAGCAACCAATCGATGGCATCGAGGAAACCTAACTCTGCAGCGTCAGCAGAGAATCGATATCGATATTGGGTCCGGGCGCTACTTGTGTGTATTCATAAAGGGAGTCTTGCGATCGCGTGGTGGACCAAACAAGCTACATATCATGCATCGACACAACAGTCTCAACACCAACGTATCTCGCTCGCCCTCCCTTAGCCAACGTAAACTCGTGGCTGACTTCCGTTCTCCGTCTCCACTCGTTGGGGGATCGTCCAGTGTCAGCACTACTGAGTCTCATCAGACGGTGATCACGAAGACGTCCTGGCTCGAGGCTGCTCGTGAAAGTACCAACAACTTCAAACTGCATGGCTCCGCCCTCCCTCTCGTTTGGGTGAGAAGCATGGTAGTGGATCTTCGCTGAACCTTGCTTATGAGTATACAAGGTTTTGGTTGAGGACAATGTCATCCCGTCGAATGCTGTTCCCTTTGGTGAAGACAAGACCGGGTTTCCACTATACATTGCTCGTGCCCTGCTTGAGGTAGGATTATCCCTCCCCCGGGTATCGCAACACTGATCGTGCAATATCTTTCAGGGTGTCCTCTGTAAGTATACTCTGTCCGTAATCCAAAGATAGTGTTAACTTGGCTTTAGATCTCGGAAAGGCAGGTGCTCACCTTCAGCATGCCCTTATCAGTTACGGGGGAAGGGAGCATCAAGTATGTCTGCCAAATCGAGAGTTACAACTCTTCATTATATTGAGACTTGTTTACAGATCCAAAAGTATGAAGTGCTCGTGTGCGCTTCTCAACTTCGCTGGGGCTTGGCCACCTACGAACCAGTAGGATCTTTGAGTCAGGGCACAGTCATACTTGCACAGCAGCATCAGCAGCATCAGCAGCATCAGTCTCAACGCGGATCGGCAGCATGGACTGCTCAAGCTGGTGGTTTCACCCAACATGGAGGAACTCCCGGTGGTTTCGTCGCACAACCTGGGGCACCCGCTGGTTTTGTCGCACATACTGGATATACTAATGTCCGGGAGGCGACCAGTACCCGGGAAACTAAAAGTATCCACAGCTCTCGCGAGACTTCTAGCGTGGTTTCAACCACGCTATGTGTCAACGATATCCCAAGGTTTATTCCCAATCTTGCTACGTCACCAAGAGTAGAGGAAAGCCTGAAGAAGCTTGCGTACGGATTCTTTGAACCACCTTGTTACGCACCTGACGATCCTTGATAGCGACTACAAGACCGTGGTTCTGATTGATGATTCCATCTCTGTTGGTGTTACTTTCTTTGCGATAACACTTAGAGGTTCTTATTCATTTCATTCAGATGGCCGAAGAACAATCTTGGACTCTTGTCCGCGAGGCTCTGGCGGGAATCGCTGATCTTGCGAATCAGTATGGCTCTCAAGGAATTGATTTACATTTCTTGCACCACGAACATTTCCATCAAAACATCAAGGTATGTCTGCCAATGCACAGCTTGTACCGCGATTGACTGTCTCTGTAGACAAGTCACGAGATTCAACACATCTTCAATCAAATGGCCCCTAACGGTTAGTTCCATCCTTGACGACACGCCTGGCCACAGTGACACCAGGATACAGGTCCCGAAACGCCAACTGCTGCGAAACTGGAAGAGCTTATCAACTTCTACCTCCCTCTCGTGGAGCGCAAGTTCCCTCAACACAACCCTATCGACATTATCGTCATTACCGACGGTGTCGCAAGTAAGTTACGCCTGGTATGCCTCGGTCCGTTGTGCTGATAATGCTCTGTGCATCAGCCGATCAGCAGGATCTCCCTGAGGTTATCGTCAGCGCAGCCCACCGCCTGGAAAGAAGCCAAGTTCCAGAGGAAATGTTCGGCATCCAGTTTGTGCAGATTGGCACGGACGCGGAGGCCGCGTCCGCATTGCGCGCTCTAGATGACCACCTTGCGAAGCAGTACAAAATCAGAGTCTGTTTTATATTGCTTCCTGGCTAGTTGACATGTACTCATATTGCTTGTCGACAGGATATCGTGGATACTACACCTTACGATCCTCAACAGGGCGCATTCAATACCGATTACATGCTGAAGATCCTGCTCGGTGGTGTGAATAAGGTTCTTGACAATGGGGGTCCTGTGCCGAGCGAATTGCTCTCGCCGCTCGCAGTCCCATATGGGTCGAGGTAATCAGTTCGTCTCAGTATTCAATTGCCGAAATGTCCGTGCTGTATATTAGCGAAAGTCTGTTTTCCATGAAGTCGTCTACAAGAAATGTTTCGCAATGCGCAATTATACATAAGTTGCCTCGTTCAATGGCATGTTGAATTCTGTTACGAGCTGTTGGGACCAAGTACTTCCATCCGGCCCGCACAAGCCAGACCCCGGGGGGCTGAGCGTCCATTATTGGTGACGTGTGACGTGTATGTGACTTCCTAATACGTCCGCCATGAACATGATCCCTGCCCAATCCCTGTCCTCATCGATCGCATCATCCATCTTGTCCGAGTCATCCATTGGGAAGAGCGGACCTGGTAACAAGTTGTTGCCTATAATGTGGTGAACCTTGCGCCGTGGTAAATTCGAAGACAGGTACTTCAAGTAAGTCACCTGGAGTGAAGGCTGTTCCAAGTTCCGCCAGAAATGATTTCATCAATGTTCCTTGCGCACATATGCAATCAGGCCAGCCTTTCAAATTTCAAATACTTACCACGAAGTCGTTATCGATTCATCCACGAAGACCTTGGTCAATGGGCTAGCTTCTTCTTGCAAGACAGCTCTCCACTTTGTTGGGTCCCTGATCAACCTCGTTGGACCACGGTGAGCAGGGTTATCTGTGATAAACCATCTGCTTCCGAAATGAGGCAACGTGTTGTGCCGCGCGGTACAGATTTCTGTGACGATCGGAGTAGCGTTTCCCAATCATGTCTTACTGACCAGCCAGTTTTCCGGGATAGGTGAAAGTTTTAACAAACTTCTAGTACATCACACAGCGTCAAATTGTGCCCTGTGTTGATGGACTATTATTGTGCTTGCGCTCCTTCAAGAATCACGGAAATTTCCGTTGAACTTCATGGCGCAGCTGATATCGATGGATTGGGCGCCAATGCCTAATGCCTGGAAGTTATGGTATAAAGTGGTATAAAGACGATCCCCCAGGAATGTAACTCCAGTTTAACAATCCGATATTCCACGATGCGTAGCTCCACTCCAACTCAGTTTCAGTCTTCGAGGACAACAATTTCGAGTAGCACACACTCTAACTCCGCCGCTTTCGGCACTTCGATGCCAGAAGCTCGTTTGGCGTCCTATCAGCAACGTCCGTCATACCAAGCCCCAAGACCAGCACAGTACGAGACCTCCCAGTACACGAAGCCAGTGCATGAATATGGACGATCTCCCGCAAGCTCGTACCCGCCTCCATTGCCAGCATTCGGCAATGATTCAACAACCGCCCCCACCAGGCACAAGAGCAGCTGGCTTGACGAAGCTAGGGAAAGCACCGCTAATTTTAAGAAGCATGGCTCGCCTGTACCGCTTGTGTGGGTAAGAGTGACGTCGATTAAGACTGTTATAATGGTCGTTAATGGTCCGAAAGGTCTTAATAGAGGATAAATCCATTCCGCCGAACGCTGTCCCTTTTGGCGAAGACCGCAATGGACAAACGACCTTCATTGCACGTGCTTATTTGGAGGTAAGGTTTACTACCATGGAATCCTGGTCAAAGACGCTCACGTCCAGTTGATAGGGAGGTCTCCGTAAGTGCTATTAACATAACGTGTGACCACTCCACATAAACGAGACTGTTCAGATCTCGGAAAGGTTGGCCACCACACCTCAGGTGCCTTGATCAGCTACGTTGGCAAGGAGCACTTGGTATGTGGTCCTCTGATTTTCGCGCTCTTCTACTTTGGTTTTGACGGACTTCATGCATAGATTGAAAAATACGAGGTTCTGGTATGCGCGTCTCAGCTTCGCTGGGGTCTGGCATCCCAGGATGCGACTGGAAGTTTGGTTCCGGGTACTGTCGTCCTGGCTCGTCAGCAGCAAGGGAGACAGGAGATCAGGCGCACCGCAAGCACTCTGTGGTCGCGTGAGAGTCGGGAGACTAGGGAGACTCGAGAAACCACATCGGTCCTCCAGACTACTCTCCACGTAGACGACATACCTCGCTTTATTCCCCCTCTTGTGATACAAGAGGAAGAACTGCGACGCGTGGCGTGCGTGTTCACTGCTCTTTATCTCTAAAATTCTGACTTTGTGTGTGATAGTGAGTACAAGACCGTTATTCTGATCGATGATTCCATCTCAGTAAGGATGGCATCTTCAAGAACTTAATCCCTGACGTTTATGCTCTTTGTACCTAGATGACCGAAGGTGATTCTTGGAGCCAAGTGCGGGAGGCTCTAGCTGGCATCGTCGACCTTGCCATACAATATGGATCTAAAGGGCTTGATCTCCACTTCATGCACCAACATCAGTTTGCCGAAAATATGAGGGTATGGGAACTCGTTCGCAGGTCCTATTTGTATAACTCACGGTCTCAATCAGTCCCGGTTCGAAGTCCAGAAACTTTTTGACCAGCTCAGTCCCAATGGTATGCATCGCATTTCTCGAACTTCATCACTTGATTACATTGTCCATTCAGGCGAGGACACTCCGACGGGAGCGAGACTCGAACAGCTCATTGAGATGTACTTGCCACTCATCGAGCATCCGAGCTCGACTCACGAACCGATTTCTATCATTGTCATTACTGATGGAGCTGCTAGTAAGGTGATAGTTCCATACCGTGCTCACATATCTGACAATACGCGGGCATCACTGTAGCTGACGGTGAAGAATTATTGCGATCCATCATCGAGGCCGCCAGTCGCCTTGACAGGCAGCAGGTTCCTCTCGATAAATTCGGTATCCAATTCGTCCAAATCGGCACAGACCAAGAAGCTGCAAGGGCGCTCCAAGTGTTGGATGACGAGCTGTCTGACCGTTACAAAATTCGGGTGCGTGTCGTTCGTGGTTTCTTACACACTTTCACTCATGATTCTCCAGGACATCGTCGACGCCACTCCCTTTGACCCTGCTAATGGCGCGTTCAACACGGATTACATGATCAAGATCCTCATTGGAAGTCTGCACAAAGAACTAGACAATGGGACCGCTGAACTCCTCTCACCAGAGAGGAAACCCCAAATGATGGTGATGCCTGCATTTGACAGACACCCATCTCCTGTTCCGAGGTCTGCCTCTCCGCATATGCCTACTAGTGGCCTACGCGCGCGAGGAGGGTATTGAAGGGGAGGATGGGACAAATATGCACGGTTTATGATATATTCCAAGCCACAATTCCATTACGCTGTGTACAACTTCTCAATAGGCTGCGAACTTGATTTGGTATCTGTTAAAGTCCATTGGTCGAAATTGAAATATTGCCTCATGTCAGTGAAATGCCAGGCTAGGAGCGATGCTCGTCATGTATGTAGAAATGCAACAAAGGCTAGGAGAGATCATTGTCTATCAAGGCTGCAGACAATGGGCCGATTGAAGTTGTGAACCGAGACTTCGTGGGATATTACCTCACGAGGCTTGGGCGCTTCAGCTGCACAGCCTAGTATGCTGCATATAAGCTGTGAACACGATGATACAACATATCACCCGTACCTGCAGGGAGCAGTGAACTCAACTCTGACCTTGACCGAAACGCCCATTGTCCCCTAGTACTATCCACCTGTCACTGTTATCCTCGGTAAGTGATAAATTTGGAATATGTTAGATGAAAGCTGAGATGGTGCTGCACTCGGTAGTAGGAATTTTGGAGCATGTCTTCACCCACCACTAAAACGAAAAACATATCAGCAATAACGCCTCGCCAAAAATTTGAAGGACACACCCATGTGGTCCGGGGCGTCGTACACTTGCCTGACGGACAGCGGATAATTACTTGTTCAGAAGATGGCTCACTGCGGGTATGGAATTTCGAGAGCGGGAAACAAATAGGAGAAGACTGGAGGGACGGAGACAGTGAAGTGTACAGTATAATGTTGTCCCCAGATGGGAAGAAAGTGATTAGCGGGAGTAGGGACGGTGGAGTGAGGTTGTGGGACATCGAGACAGGCAAGGTCATCGCGAAATGGATGGGACACACAAAGGAAGTGGGGTCTCTCGATTGGAGTCAAGATGGTCAGCGAGTAGTGAGCGGATCTATTGATGGGACTGTAAGGCAGTGGGATGTGGAGAGCGGAGAGACGATCCTGGCACCCGGGCCAATCAGGACAGGGCATTTTGCAGTGATCGCAGCCATCTATTCGCCAGACACGACCATGATTGCGACTGGTGGAGATGATAGGCCAGATGTTGAAGATATTAACGAGTCCTCAATTAAAATCTGGGATGCCAAGACAGGCGAACTTGTCGAAACTCTCAAAGGACACAGAGATCGGGTTGTGTGCCTGGCTTGGACCGTGGATGGGAAAACGCTCATCTCTGGGTCAATGGATAACTCGATTCGGACATGGAATACAAAAACATGGATGCAGACCGCAGTTCTGCATGAGCACACTTCCCTTGTCTTGAGCATTGCAATATCCCCGAATGGCCACATCCTCGCAAGCGCATCATACGACGATACAGCACAATTGTGGAACCTCGACCACGGCCAGCCCATCAGTTCTCCACTCCAACATGCGGATGGAGTTTTCTGCGTCTCATTTTCCGTGGATGGTATTGAGAGACGAGAACTAGAGTACGAGGCTCAGTCACGGTTAAAGAGACTAGCATTCAGCGTAGTACTACGAACCTAGAGTACGAGGCTAATGTATATAGTGAGTATAATGGAATAAGAATGAGGAAAAATATGATACACACCTCAGTCACGGTTAAAGAGACTGAGGTGCGTTGGCGCTGGTTCGTAGTCTTATATAGAGTTAGAATAAAGTTAGAATACGGTTGAAAACGGGAAGAGAAAATGAGTAAGGTACTGTTACTGTCTTGCATTCATATATGTCAGGACGTCGTGACGTCCTGTGTGCCCTGGTGGTCAGGCGCACTCTCAACAGATGGAAAACTACTAGCAACTGGCTGTGATGATAACGACGCGTACACATGGGATGTTGCTACCATTGTCAAAGAAGCTGGCCCCGACGACATTCTGTCACCAAAGGTGAGTTGTCAGGCATATCTCCATACATTTCATTCTCACACCTGAACGCGCTCTGCCAGGCCGACAAGTCAACACTCCGCGTATGTGACGCTTTCGTAAAATATCTCACTGCATTCAAACATGTACACTATAGGTTAATGCTACACGACATCCGACTCAACGACGTCAGCCTGCCCATCGGGTACCCCAAGGTTTTTTCGATGACACACGACAACACTCTCGGGTATGTCCTTACTATCACTTCGACATTTTTTCCTGACTTGGTGTGCTCAGTTCTCTCCGAGAAGCCGCCTCCACTCCTCAGCACCCCAAGGAAGCACACTTCTTGGCCGCTTATTCAACCGCAGTCCCTCCGATATACCGTCCTCTCCTCTCGATTGGTCACAACACCTTTTTAAACGGCGCGGACGAAATAGTGAAAACATCGAATTCCACGGGCGCGGCCCAGCAGTTGTTGAGGTCCCGTACGCACAGGGAAAACGTGTATGTCGTCTCTCCTTCTCAGACATTTGACTCAACTTGACATTATGTAGAGGAATGCTTGTGCGAGGGAAAAACGCAAAAAGAAACCATTACGCACTACTCTGGGCAGCTCACGGCCTCCAAAACCCAACACCACACAATCCAGTGGTGCGACTCAGACCCAGCCATCTTCGCAACTACAGCCACCTGTTTCCAATTCGTCTACCACACCTGCTATTGGTGATACCACCGCAGCTACAACCTCGACGCCCACGCGCCCTGATGTAATGCTCAGACAGGCTGGACACTGGACTCGCCTCTGGCTCTTTATCTGTTGTACGTCTCCCGAGTATATCGATGGTCATCATTAATCTACGATTTCCTCATCCTTCACGAGTCCCGCGTCTCATGTTCCTTTATCAGATTTTCTGCTTGTAGTTGATGTGCTCTGCCCGTGTTACTCACTCCGTTATATTTCAAACTCCTTTTGTTTATACCACGCGCCACGTCGTCTCCGTCTGCATTAGTGCATGTGTATGTATGTAGCACTTGAGCTTTGTGTATTATAATGTTGGGTTCATTGCTCCTGCTGTACACCCTCACTCACGCAAGCAGATACAGTGCACAAGTGACGAAGCAGATTATGACGATGGACAGATGTCGATGTCGACTGGACTTGGAACTGATTGTATTGAACAGATCAACCCTGGGGTCTACAGCCACGGCCAAGCGGCAGAAGTGGTTATTCCGCTGTTTCTACGGGTTCCGCTAGCAGAATTGCCCTTCAAAATTGCTTTTACTCACATCATTACCTACTACCTTCCTCCTACTTTCAGACTCCCGGGGCACTTCCTGCCACCTCGCAAGTGAGGTTTCGCATTTCGCTCATCGTGCCTACTTTGCTTGCAGGTGCGTTGACTGCTATGAAAGTCGCATACGGGAAGACTACGCTCACGTCTGCGACTGATCCAGAAGTCGTTGGAATTCGTCAACTCGTTGGAATGGTTGGTCCAATCCTTCGACATGGTGCTCACATGGTGCACTTGATCCCTTTGCTTGAAAATTCTTCCTTTGTATACCTGAACGATCCATGAGGAACAAGAAAACTCACATCGGGCAGCCAAACGAGCAAATGGTATGCACTGCTTTTCTATCATCACTTCATATCTAAGTGGTCCCACAGGAAAGTAAATACCAATGTAGACATCGGTCCTTCATTCTAGAAATGTGCTAGAAAATAGCGGTCTCTATTGTTTGACAGAGACCTGAGAAGCGGCATTTTGTGCTGGAGCCTTTTTTAGCTGGATCTAATACGAGGATTTGTTTTGTCGTTCTCTGAAGATGTGGGTTTGAAATCAGGTGAAAGCCTTCTGCTGCAATATGCACGATGCTCATGGCAGCTGTATATTTACCTGAGGAGCAAAGTGAAAGTTCAGACTGAGCTCGATGCAGTCATAGGAAAGAATAAAGGTAAGTAAATTGATTTCTAATGACACGCGGCGCTGGATCGACGACCAAGGTAGCCTGAGAGACAATTTAAAATTCTTTGTCTGCGGGTTAGGTCTGTGGTAAGCACGGACCTTTATCTATTCAATCTTCGAACGAACGGTCCTTCTAATGTATGTGCCGGTCAACATATCGCGAAAAGGTAGAGATATTTTAAACGCATGCGGTCTTACCAACTCACACTGGTTGTTACGTTCTTGACCGCCTCCCTCATTCTGTGGGCCTTCTGGCTCACTCTGAATCTGCAAAGCCATTAAATAACATCGGGAGCAATTCCGAATGTCAATATTGTACGCAATCGAGTTTGAGACCAGGATTCTGGACACTGAGTTCAGGTGGGTGTTGTAGAATTGTCCTGAGGCTGCATGATAAGATTTATGCCTGGAATGGGTCAGAAAGAACATGAAGAACTAGTTTCGGAATGAATGACCACGATCCCTCCAGGACTCGCAGAATGTTGTAATTTTACCACTTCCGTCAGCGAATTTGATGCTGGGGTAAGCCCTGAATCGTACAATGGCAAGGCGTACAACAATCACAGGTGGGACTGACGTACATCTCTGATCGTGAAAGTTCAGCTGTCGGAGGCACGTTGCAGTGGTAAGATGGGCGATGCTGCATAACAAATCTCTGGTAAGGATTACATGATATTCATACAAATCATCTGCAGGAGAAACAGCAATTATTAGAACCCACTATCATAGAGGAGCTTAACCCCGGCAGGATGATGCAATTAGGATGCCAGAGCTGCATCTGAGTCTGCACAGCAACAATTCGATTGGAAAGCTGCCTAACAGGCGGCCACCGGGTATGGGTGAATGATAAAGTCAGAAGAAGTTACTGCAAGATGAATAATGTAGACAAAGTGGGTGGTGACCGAGTTGCAAAGGGTCCAATGAAGACAGAAACTGGAGCAGCGTTCATGTCGTATGTATATTGAATGTGTCACGAGACAGATGATTCTCGGGCGCTTCAGCTGCACAGCTTATGGTGTACATCTAACATAAGTAAGGACCAGGTGTTTGATCCTGCGGAACCCAGCTTATGTATGGTGTACATAATCTGTGAACACGAGGATACAGCATGTCAGACGTACCAGGAAGCAGTAAAACCAACGCTGTCTTGACGGAAACGCCCATCGTGCCCTGGTGTCTGCCCGTCGCGTCATAAGTAATGAATTTTATATATCTTAGATGAAAGCTGACATGGTGCTGCACTCGGTAGTAGGAATTTTGGAGCATGCCTTTGCCCACCACTAAACCGAAAAACATATCAGCAATCAAGCCTCGCCAGGAATTTGAAGGACACACCGGACGGGTCCGGGGCATCATACACCTGCTTGACGGACAGCGAATCATAACTTGTTCAGATGATAGCTCGCTGCGGGTATGGAACTTGGAGAGCGGAAAACAGATAGGGGAAGACTGGCGGGACGGAGACAGCGGAGTGATCAGTATAACGTTGTCCCCAGATGGGAGGAAAGTGATTAGCGGGAGTAGGGACAGTGGAGTGAGGGTGTGGGACATCGACACAGGCAAGGTCATCGCGAAATGGACGGGTCACAGAGATGATGTGACGTCTGTCTGTTGGAGTCGAGATGGTCAGCGAGTAGTGAGCGGATCATTGGATGGGACTGCGAGGCAGTGGGATGTGAAGAGCGGAGAGACAATCCTGGCACCCGGGCCAATCAAGACAGGGCATTTCGCAGTGTACGCAGTCGTCTATTCGCCAGACACTACCATGATTGCGACTGGTGGACGTGAAAGGCCCTGGACTGAAGATAACCGCGAGTCCTCAATTAAAATCTGGGATGCGAAGACAGGCGAACTTGCTGCAACTCTCAAAGGACATAGAGATAATACCGTGTGGTGCCTGGCTTGGACCGCGGACGGTAAAACGCTCATCTCCGGGTCTTTTGATTTCTCAATTCGGACATGGAATACAAAAACATGGATGCAGACCGCAGTTCTGGATGGGCACACTTCTCTTGTCTGTGGCATTGCAATATCCCCGAATGGCCGCATCCTCGCAAGCGCGTCATACGACGATACAGCACGATTGTGGAACCTCGACAACGGCCAGCCCATCAGTTCTCCACTCCAACATGCGGATGGAGTTTTCTGCGTCTCATTTTCCGCGGATGGAAAACTACTAGCAACTGGCTGCGATGATAACGACGCGTACACATGGGATGTTGCTACCATTGTTAGAGAAGCTGGTCTCGACGAACTTCTGTTGGATCCACAGGTGAGTCAACATACCTCATTTTATTTCATTCTCACACCTGAACGCGCTCTGCCAGGCCAACAAGTCGGCACTCCGTGTATGTGACACTTTCGTAAAATATCTCACTGCATTCAAACATGTACACTATAGGTTAATGCTACACGACATCCGACCCAACGACGTCAGCCTGCCCATCGGGTACCCCAAGGTTTTTTCGATGACACACGACAACACTCTCAGGTACGTCCTTGCTATCACTTCGACGTTTTTTCCTGACTTGGTGTGCTCAGTTCTCTCCGAGAAGCCGCCTCCACTCCTCAGCACCCCAAGGAAGCACACTTCTTGGCCGCTTATTCAACCGCAGTCCCTCCGATATACCGTCCTCTCCTCTCGATTGGTCACAACACCTTTTTAAACGGCGCGGACGAAATAGTGAAAACATCGAATTCCACGGGCGCGGCCCAGCAGTTGTTGAGGTCCCGTACGCACAGGGAAAACGTGTATGTCGTCTCTCCTTCTCAGACATTTGACTCAACTTGACATTATGTAGAGGAATGCTTGTGCGAGGGAAAAACGCAAAAAGAAACCATTACGCACTACCCTGGGCAGCTCACGGCCTCCCAAGCCCAATGCCACACAATCCAGTGGTGCGACTCGGACCCAGTCATCATCTTCGCAACCACAGCCACCTGTTTCCAATTCGTCTACCACACCTGCTGTCGGTGGTACCACCGCAGCTTCAACGTCAACTTTCTCGCGCCCTCACGCAACGATAAGACACGCTGGACTCTGGACTCGCTTCTGGCTCTTCATTGGTTGTTTGTCTCCTGAATACACAGATGGTCGCCATTAATCTACGATTTCATCGTCCCCTACGATGATTTCTCGCGTGCCTCTGCCCGAATACACGCCTTTCTACTATGTTTCGGACCGTTCTTTTTTTATACCACTCACCTCCTCACCTCCGTCTGCAACATACAATACACTGAGGCTACGTGTTTCGTATTTCTGGGCTCGTCGATCCGACTTACCATATACTATATATACACCAACGCATCAATTGTAAGGAATCCTTTACGCACCGACCCAACTTCAAAACAAGACGCTCGAACTCACCATTCAGCGCAACCACGTGACTCACGGATGCGAAGAGCGCAACTCTTCGCATCCGAATACGTGGTATCGGCATGTCAAACGTACTCTCTGACTTGACCTTCACGCCCATTGTCCCCTACTATCCACCCGTCGCTGTTGCCATCGGTAAGTGATGAATGTGTAATATGTTACATGAAAGCTGAGATGGTGCTGCACTCGGTAGTAGGAATTTTGGAGCATGTCTTCACCCACCACTAAAATGATATCAGCAATAACACCTCGCCAGAAATTTGAAGGACACTCCGGTTTGGTCCGGGGCGTCGTACACCTGCCTGACGGACAGCGGATCTTGACTTGTTCAGAAGAGGGCTCGCTGCGGGTATGGAATTTGGAGAGCGGGAAACAAATAGGAGAAGACTGGCGGGACGGAGACAGTGCAGTGATCAGTATCATGTTATCCCCAGATGGGAAGAAAGTGATTAGCGGGAGTAGGGATGGTGGAGTGAGGTTGTGGGATATCGAGACAGGCAAAGTCATCGCAAAATGGACGGGACACACAAAGGCAGTGGGGTCTCTCTATTGGAGTCGAGATGGTCAGCGAGTGTTGAGCGGATCTGAGGATGGGACTGTAAGGCAGTGGGATGTGGAGAGCGGAGAGACAATCCTGGCACCCGGGCCAATCAAGACAGGACATGCAGCAGTGTACGCAGCCATCTATTCGCCAGACACCACCATGATTGCGACTGGTGGACGTGATACGCCCTTGACTGAACGTAATCAAGAGTCCTCAATTAAAATATGGGAAGCGAAGACAGGCGAACTTGTCGCAACTCTCAAAGGACACACAAGTTGGATGTCGTGCCTGGCTTGGACCCCGGACGGTAAAACGCTCATCTCCGGGTCTTTTGATTTCTCAATTCGGACATGGAATACAAAATCATGGAAGTTGATTGCAGTTCTGAATGAGCACACTTCTCTTGTCAACGGGATTGCAATATCCCCGAATGGCCGCATCCTCGCAAGCGCATCATACGACAAGACAGCGCGATTGTGGAACCTCGACCACGGCCAGCCTATCAGTTCTCCACTCCAACATGCACATGAAGTTGGCTGCATCTCATTTTCCGCGGATGGAAAATTACTGGCAACTGGCTCTTCGGATAATATCGTGTACACATGGGATATTGCTACCATTGTCAGAGAAGCTGGTCTCGACGAACTTCTGTTGGATCCACAGGTGAGTCAACATACCTAATTTTATTTCATTCTCACAACTGAACGCGCTCTGCCAGGCCAACAAGTCGGCACTCCGTGTACGTGACACCTTCATAAACAGATTTCATTCCATTCAAACATATATACTCTAGGAAAATGCTACACGACATCCGGCCCAACGACGTCAGCCTACCCATCGGGTACCCCCAGGCTTTTTCAATGCCCCACCAGATCATTCTCGTGTACGTTCTTAGTATCACTTCGAATTTTATCCTGACTTCCGTAGTCCCAGTTCTCTCCACGAAGCCGTCTCCACTCCTCAGCACCCCAAGGAAGCACACTTCTTGGCCGCTTATTCAACCGCAGCCCCTCCGATCCCCATGATACATCACTGTCCTCTCCTCTCGACTGGGCTCAACACCTTTTGAAAACACGTAGACAAAACGGTGGAGAAATCGAATTACATGGGCGCAACCCAGCAGTTCTTGAGGTCCCGCATGCACCGGGACAACGTGTATGTTTTTCTCCTTCTCAGATGTTCTAGTTGACCTGAAATCATGCAGAGGAATGCTTCAGCGGGAGCGAAACGGAAAACGAAATCATTACACACTACTCTAGGCAGCTCCCGTCCTCCAAAGCCCAATGTCATACAATCCAGCGGTGCGACTCAGACCCAGCCATCTTCGCGACCACAGCCACCTGTTTCTAATTCGTCTACCACACCTGATACCACCGCAGCTACAAATTCCACTTCCTCACGCCCTGACGCGACAATAAGACAGGCTGGGTGCTGGACTCGCTTCTGGCTCTTCGTTGGTTGTCTGTCTCCTGAATACACAGATGGTCGTCATTAGTTTGTCATTTTCTCGTCCCTTACGAGTCTCATGCCTTTACGTGCTCTATGTACTCGTGCTACTCACTTTGCTTGTTTTGAACCTTCCTGTTTTGATACCGCATGGCTCATCATCTCTGTCTGCAGCGGCTCGCATATATATGCAAGATTTGAGCTAATGGCGTGTGTTCTCCTGGCAGTCGAATGCTTGACTTCTTGTAAGGTGTTGGCCTAGCAAAGCTCAACCTACCATCACGACACGCATGGTCCGGCTGTGTTCTCACTTCCTCCACTCATCGCAGGAATACTTTGGAACGCATCCGCTCCTCCACACGACTGGTGGCTTTTCAATCGGTAACTGAGGCGATTCTCGCATATTTTGACGGCTTCCCCTTCTCTGTTGACCGACAGGTCAGGACTGGTCCTGTAGAATATTGCAATCACAACGATTTGACTTGCACTCCCGCCTTGTGAGTTTTGTCATTCGATGACGGGCGTCAGCGCATCCAAAACAAATCGTTGACTAAATGATTACTGGAAAGTGCGTGATCCGAGAACATTCATGTGTTGCGGTATTCGAAGGTAAGGCTTCCAGATTACGAGAATTCTATGATGAACGTGAAACAAGGGCCCTCCCTTTGCAATGCACCCTCAACGAAGAATACTACACACCATCCAAGATCAAAGACCTTGTTAGATATGGCATCAACCCCTTCGAGAGCAACAAAGTTCTCCGGAAAGCAGCATTAGCACCAATGTAGGTGCTCATTTTCCGCGTCCAACGAGTCAACCCAACCCCGTTGCCCGAGCTCCATAGCTATTCAAGGCGCATGGACACCTGGTATGATCTCCGGCGTAAAATGGAACACCTCTGAACAGGAATTCAAGGATACGGTGCGTTTTTATTTCATCATCTGTGGGGTGCTGGGTATTACCACTGTTCATACCCACTCCTCGAAAACTGTTACTGTAAGCAGAAGACGAAGACGAATGAGAGGGGTCTGAATGCTAATAGCTCCAATACAAATGTCTGACCAGTAAGCAAACAAACACAGTGAGCTAGTACGAGGGAATGTTCCAGAGCTGAATAGATAACGGGCGCTAGCATATAGGCAATGCAACTCACAGGAATAGTACCATTCATCAGCAGCAGACATCGAGGATGCATGAGAATGCTTCGCAGCGAACAGCTTCGGGTCTTATCTAACCAGCTAATCATGGACCGAGGCTCCACAAGATGCAACCCGGTTGGACACTGACAAATGAGACTTGGGCGCTTTTGCAGCACAGCCTATGCTGTATATAAGCTGTGAACACGAGGATACAGCATGTCAGACGTACCAGGAAGCAGTGAACTCAACTCTGACCTTGACCGAAACGCCCATTGTCCCCTACTATCCACCCGTCGCTGTTATCCTCGGTAAGTGATAAATTTGGAATATGTTAGATGAAAGCTGAGATAGTGCTGCACTCGGTAGTAGGAATTTTGGAGGATGTCTTCGCCCACCACTAAAACGAAAAACATATCAGCAATAACGCCTCGCCAAAAATTTGAAGGACACACCTATTTGGTCCGGGGCGTCGTACACCTGCCTGGCGGACAGCGGATCATGACTTGTTCACAAGATGGCTCGCTGCGGGTATGGAACCTGGAGAGCGGGGAACAGATAGGAGAAGACTGGCGGGACGGAGACAGTGCAGTAATCAGTATAACGTTATCCCCAGATGGGAAGAAAGTAATTAGCGGGAGTATGAATGGTGGAGTGAGGTTGTGGGACATCGAGACAGGCAAGGTCATCGCAAAATGGACGGGACACACAAAGGAAGTGTGGTCTGTCTGTTGGAGTCGAGATGGTCAGCGAGTATTGAGCGGATCTTTTGATGGGACTGTAAGGCAGTGGGATGTGGAGAGCGGAGAGACGATCCTGGCACCCGGGCCAATCAAGACAGGACATACAGAAGTGTACGCAGCCATCTATTCGCCAGACACCACCATGATTGCGACTGGTGGAGATGATGAACCCTGGACTGAAGATAACCACGAGTCCTCAATTCAGATCTGGGATGCGAAGACAGGCGAGCTTGTCGCAACTCTCAAAGGACACACACATTGGGTGCGGTGCCTGGCTTGGACCGCGGATGGTAAAACGCTCATCTCCGGGTCATACGATTGCTTGATTCAGACATGGAATACAAAATCATGGAAGCAGATTGCAGCTCTGGATGAGCACACTCATGCTGTCTTTGGCATTGCAATATCCCCGAATGGCCGCATCCTCGCAAGCGCATCGTACGACAAGACAGCGCGATTGTGGAACCTCGACAACGGTCAATTGCAACCTATCAGTTCTCCACTCGAACATGCACATGAAGTTCTCTGCGTCTCGTTTTCCGCGGATGGAAAGCTACTAGCAATTGGCTCCTTCGATAACAACGCGTACACATGGGATATTGCTACCATTGTTAGAGAAGCTGGTCTCGACGAACTTCTGTTGGATTCAAAGGCGAGTCAACATACCTCATTTTATTTCATTCTCACATCTCAACGCGCTCTGCCAGGCCAACAAGTCGGCACTCCGTGTACGTGACACCTTCATAAACAGATTTCATTGCATTCAGACATATATACTCTAGGAAAATGCTACACGACATCCGACCCAACGACGTCAGCCTGCCCATCGGGTACCTCAAGGTTTTTTCGATGACCCACGGAAACATTCTCAGGTATGTCATTACTATGACTTCGATGTTTCTTCCTGACTTGGTGTGCTCAGTTCTCTCCACGAAGCCGCATCCACTCCTCAGCACCGGAAGGAAGTACATTCCTTGGCCGCTTATTCCACCGCAGCCCCTCCGATGCACGTGATACCTCACCGTCCTCTGTCGACTGGGCTCGACACCTTTTGAAATGGCGCGGACGAAATGGTGAGGGCACCGAATTTAACGGGCGCAGCCCAGCAGTTGTTGAGGTTCCGTATGCACAGGGAAAACGTGTATGTTTTTTCTCCTTCTCAGACGTTCGACTCGACCTGACACTATGCAGAGGAATGCTTCAGCGGGAGCGAAACGGAAAACAAAACCATCACACACTACTTCTGGCAGCTCGCGGCCTCCCAAGCCCAATGCCACGCAATCCAGTGCTGCGACTCAGACCCAACCATCTTCGCAAATACATGCAGCTGTCTCCGATTCGTCTACCACACCCGCCGCTGCTGCTACTTCCGCAGCCACCACGTCAGTGGCATTGCGCCCTGATGTAACAATAAGACAGGCTGGGCGCTGGACTCGCTTCTGGCTCCTTATCTGCTGTACATCCACCGAGTATACTGACGGTCATCATTAATCTATGATTTTCTCATCTTCACGTTGTCGTCGTCTCGAAGCACTCGGGACTTCCTGAAGGAAGCAAGCAGACAAATACAAATATTTCCATGTGTCAGTAGTCTAATAGCCAATACAACCAACAACCACACCAAACGTTCATTGATCGCGAAGCACTACGGGGTAGATGTGTCCCATGATTGAATTCACGATACACCTGTCCGCCAGAACCGGTGAGCGCCAATGATCAAACGCTAGTTAGTGCTGGCATACCGAAATTTAGGTTTGAGATAATAAGGTCGCCACGAGCGAGGCAGTGATGTCACTCCTGGCAGCGCGCTGTCGCCGATTTCCATGAAAAGATGCTTCAGAGCTCGAGGTCAGAAGTGCGAAAATCAAATACAGTGCTTTGCAAACAAACTTTGCACCCTCGTCCGTCGTACTCATTTATGGTTGACTCGCCGCGCTTCCAATACTCAGGAGAGTTCGTAGCTATTAGCTAGAACCAGAAGAAGACAAGAATCAAAATCAAATTGCAAATGATGGTATATGTACTCTATGAATTGGTAAATGGTGACTCGAGAGTCGGAGATTGCAAGGTAGCAAAGACGTGCGAGGGTGTCAGTCAATAAAGGTGAGTAGTGTTGGGAGAAAGCGGAGCGACGGAAGTGAAAAAGGGGTCCCGAATAATGCTGTATGGATCAGAAAGAGAACTCCAATGACTTTGGAAGTTCAACAGCACCATGCTTGCCAAAGGAGACCCTTTACTTCAGAGAACATTCACAATATGAAGGTAACCACAAGTGAAAGGTGCTCGCCAACCTTTAGTGAGGACTCGGGTAGACACGCCCGAAGGGAAACGTCATCCAATCGATGAGGCGTGACGCTCACAAATCAATTCGGAAGCTCATCACCTGTGGTAAATATGCAGCGCCTGCAAGGTCGAGGATATGGACGTCGTCAAAAACATCGTGACCGTTGAACTGTGCGGATGGATGTTAGCATTTGTAAAGACATCCTGGTTCGAAGGAACCAAGCAAACGAAGGACTCACCCCTCCGAAGACAAACAATCTGCTATCTGCAATGATCGTGGCATGGTATCCGCGCGCCGAAGGGGGTTTGCCTTTCACTGTTCGTGGTTCGTATTGCAAATTCACTGTGCCCAAGGCCGTCAGTTCATTTTGCATCAAAGTTTGAAACTTGTCCAGTAGGGGTGTACTCACCCAGGTTAAACAGAACAACATCATCCCTGTACGCCCCGCCGTCGTGCCCGCCCACGATGAAGAGGCAGCTTCCAACTTGAGTAGAGGTATGCGAAAGCCGCCGATGAGAGAGAGGGAGATTAAGACGGGTCCAAAGGAGAGTATCTGTCGGGAAAACAAGTTAAGCAATCATGACTGAAGGAAAGAAAAGACGCAGAACGGAGTTCAAAACATTAAATGAATTGCCCACCAAGTTGTAAACACCATACATCCGAAAAACATTCTCTCCCATCGCTCCCTCCGACCACAATCATTACATTCCCTACCAAATTGGCAGTGTGATATCCTCTTGGTGCGGGTGGCTCACCCTGCGTTTCGACGAGGGTCCAGCGAAGGCTACCGTTTGCGCTTGAGCCACCAAAAGAACCACCCCCGTATGAATATGACTGTTTAGAGACGCTTAGTACCATTATGACGGTAATTTTTTGCTAAAATACACACAGATTGTGAGGTGGGATCTAGCCGAGAAACATCGAGCGTCCATAAATCGTTGAGGGCTGTGAGGCCGTTTCCTCCTCCAAAGATGTAAATTTTGCCGTTATAGAGGACAGCGGTGTGGGCGCGACGCGGTGCTGGATGGAGAGGCATCTCTGGAGAATTCTGAGATTGTGACGCAGGGGTCTGTGATTGCGACACAGAAATCTGTGATTGCGATTCAGTGTTCTGTGATTGCGACTCAGAGTTCTGCGATTGTGATTCAGAATTCTGCGCCGGGGATTGGGAGTGAGGAAATAAGGGACAGAACCAGGAACGCGTGGTGGTGTCAAAAATATACGTGCTGTCATAGTATACTGGGCCTTGCCCCCCACCGAAGACCACAATTTTACGGTCGACGAGGGTAGCAGTATGAGCACGGCAGGGTGGTGGTACGTCACCGAGAGTGTCAGGATGTGACCAGTGCATTGTGTCTACAGCCCGCGACTCCATCAGCATCTCACAAATAAAATATGAATCAGAAAGACGGGTGGCTGACCAGTATCAAAACAGTACACATCCTTCCAACACCCTTTATCATCGCATCCTCCGAACAACCACGCAACATGGTCTACAAGCGTGACCGTATGAGCCCTGAACGCACGCATGGGGAGCATACCATGTACTGGAGCGCGTGACCAGTACAGCGCGGTTGCAGGTGCTGGGGGATCGTCGGAGTGCGGCAGACGTGGGGTAGTGCGGACGCGCGGTGGGATCTTTGGAGGGTATTTACCTTCCTTAGCAGATGGAGAGGAGGCACGCCGTTTAATGGAGGAGGTGATGGATTCAGCAGGAACTGCGGTGGAACTGTGGCGCAAAGAAGAAGGCTTCCGAGATGCGGAGATGCGAGGTGTACCAGGCAGTGTTGGTGTACTGGTGGGTGTAGAGCCCGCCGTTGAGGTATTCACCGCAGAGCCAGCAGTTGTAGATTGTCCACCGACGTTAAACGTGGACGTTGAAGCTGTCGCATGGTGGGTTGGGTGCATGTATGGTGAATGGGTATTGCCAGTGGTGCTGCCAGGTTGCAGCGCCAGTGAACGGGAATCGTCATGAAGGGAGAGCGAGCTCATGGTATCGTTGTCGTCGTCGTCCACTGGCGCGAAGAGAAGGGTCGACACCGCCGTTGAGTTTGTCACAGACAGATCTGGGTTGGTCTTTTGCCGTCCCCGCTGTGCCATGGCGATGTATACAAGTGATCAAAACGTGGGAATATTTTACTGCCAACTTTTATTAGCCTTTTATGCTTATACCACGTGTGTTCACCTTTGTACTAGCTGGCTTTGAGCGAGTTAGCCTGACAACTCACTCAACGCCAGCTAGTAGCTAGGTTATTACTTATATTACATAGGACGGTGTACCGACTGTGTGATGCAGTTTACTTTGCTGCTCCGATGGAAACAGTGTAGAGTTGTGACATCAGAAAACTTGAAAATCCAGGATGAACCACTGCCAGTGGTCCACGTTTATTTTCGCGAGGATCATCATTCAAACCAGTCCCCCCCTATTAAATATCCCTCGGTTCTTTTGTTGCATGTCAACAGATATCTTTGATCTTTGTTAGGCCAATTTGTTGATCACCGCTAGAATGAGAGAGTTATCCTGGTTTACAACCGTCATAAACAGATGATCCAAACCTCAGAGTATTGCTTCCATGAAATGCAGACATACGCATGGCCGAAAGTATGTCGACCCAAGTCTTGATTCTTCCGATGTCAGAAACAGACGTGGCTCTTGCTGGAGGTCCGATTCGCATACAATGCCCGGCAGCTTCATCACATCGCGAACGATAGGAGCAATACAACCATATTCCTCATTCACAACGACATCGCGAGGTACAACAGGACTTGCGTCGAGGGAGCAGTGCGGATGATTTCATTCGGACTATGTGGGGTGATATCAGTTCCATATGAAGTCGCCCGGACTGCTCCCACCAACGCAAATACTGTTATACCTAGCAATGCTGTTCCGACGAGGAATGCAGTTGTATACCATGTTGATCATTCACGTCGTGAAGCTGCCCAATATTGCATGTGATGGCAGGGTAAAACCCTGTTCGCCTGTTCCACCGCACTTCGTGGTGTTGTTTCCAGTCCTCATTGTGAGCTGTTAATATAATGGGGTATGTGAGATGAAGAGGAATGGATAATATGATGGTTGGCTTACTGGGCTGATGCTTCGTGTGGAGTGAGGGAATTGCTCACCACTACGCTGCATTTATATACTTGTTGCTCTTGTGGCGGCCTGCTTTCCTTCTGAGGTCGAAGACTTTCTAAATGCGCCATGGTAAGTAATACTCCTTAGGTGGTAGCCAAAGATGTGAAACAAGATCAAGTGGGTCCAACATTGGGACCTACAGGGACCCACTCTAACAGACAACAATCAACATATATTAAAAAGTGATACAATTGAAACGAAAAACAAGGACCGACGAAAGATAGAGCGGTGCCGGTATTCTTCCAATGGTGTTCCCTGAAAATTTGGTTGTATATGAGAGGCGAGTGTAGGCGACGCACACACACACTAACCAGTCAATATACGAAGAATGGTCAAGAGTCATGCTAAGATACTTACAATTTGTCACCGTATTTCTTTTGAGTACTCTGAATGTTGTACATCCAGAGCGAGGTAATTTTGGACCACATACACGCACTGGACCAGCGGTGACTTCCAATATCATGTTGGATGCAGTCAGTAATGACGTGAGACAGGTATGAAATTCATAGTCCTCGGACTGAATTGGTCATAGTGTACGAGCAAAAAAAATCGCATTTATAATTGCGTGACAGATGACACCAGTGGTGAACGGGGTACATGTGAAGGTACCGATGTACTAGCCAGGCCTAACACGGCCAAACCGAGATTCGGTGAGCATATGTATCCGCTCGTCCGAGGTCTTTTCGGTAGCTGATCGCACTTTACATCGAAGATCCTGAAATCTCTGAATCTGTTGCTGAGATGAAGGGTTCTACCGCTTCAATCAAACACACACATCAGCTCTCTAATTTCGTAGACAATAAAATGACCAACATTCCAACTCCAAGATCTTGCACCTTGCTTGAATTTGCGCCAGCTTGGGGTGAGGCGGACGCAATTTCGAGCTGCAATGCTGAGTGTGTGGGAAGAGGAGGAGGGAGCATCTAAGGCGAGGGATGAACGCCAGGGGATACGTCATGATTTTTTAAAAGGTCGGCGGTGCTTGTCTTCCCTTAAGAGGGATTGCTTGAGATCCAGATTCCTTGTCCATGCCGAGAGTGCGGATTCTCGCACAATTTCTTATCCCCAAGCAGATTGCACGTCATGGATTGACAGTCTTCCTAGGCAGACTATGAACGGAAGTCGTTCTGGCATGATAGCGATACACAGTACAAGGTACTGCGGCACTGGCGCATTCAACACCTGTAGTTGAATATATACAACTTTCGGCCAAGGCCGTCTAGCCACCGCGGTCGACTCCTTCTTCTAACGATATGGGGGGCATGTGCGTTCTCCGTTATTTAAGGACTCGGAGAAGAATGCCCTTGATTATCTGATACAATTATATATTCAACTGTATCATGATGAGTTAGTATGTGAAAAATATATTGACATCTAATAAAGTAAGTTTATATCTCTGGCAGTACCGTATTGCTGCATACTACTCACCAGTGCGAAGTCGAACCAAACATTCGGTCACTGTGCACTCGCAAGCGCTATCCTTGCAAGTCGAACGCCCGTGCGGCGTCAGTGGCTGCGCCAGCTCGTAGCATTATGTATCCGATGCCCGCCCGCGCACATAGTGTCGGGTGATCGGCGACGAGCGGTGTTGCTTCACTGAGTTGAATAATATTCAAGCAGTTTAATCATTGGTAGTCACTGCCAGCGACAACAAAGTGGGGGATGGTGATGAGTCAGCACCTTCTCAGGGCTGTGTTCAAAATCAAGCGGTAAACCGGGCTTACGGAAGCTTACGGCCTGATAACATCGACGTGCGTTTATTTCTGCACTCCTGTCCAACTGAGCGAAGGCGATAAGCCATTCTTACTTACCCAAATGGACCTACCATGATCTCCTATGAATCTGATACAGCTTTGACTGAAGTCAATCTAGGCGAAAATCTCATCAGCTCATCATGTAGGCAATGGGCATTCTTATGATCGGGCTTTATGCCTTTTTACTAACCGTCACTGCCCCGGAAGGGAAGGTATGTCTGCATCAGATTCTGTGTCGTCGACTGATGAAAAATGGACACATGAATATAGACTTAGCGAGCTGACAGCGGCTCTGCCATGAACGTGCTTCCACCATTGACAAACTGAGTAAAGTACCTCGGGATATTTTGATAGCTGAACTGTAAATAGCGAGGGTGCAAGACCACGAGGCATCACTTGAGCCCTATGCGCACCGAAGGTGCGGGAAAATTTTAATCTCATCTTTATCTCACTCATTTTTTCCTTCCAAGGCAAACCGAGTCTTACCAGGCCGTCTATCGGCAGCGCTTCAAGTAGCCTAAATCACTCAATTCCCTCATATTGGAGACGCACAACTGAACATCAGGTATCTCTTATCACGGGGGTAGAGTGGTACAAACCCGTTATCTTAGTTTCTTATTTCGACATGGTCACCCTCGCTGACTTTTCCGGTACAAACAGTCGGCGCTTGGATCAAACATCCCAACTGCGACCTACTTCGATCCCTGACTACAACGGTGTATTCTCACGGACTCGGATCAAAGCAACTGCAAAAGGTCAAGGGTCGTTCATGAAGATGTCCCTCCTCAAAATAACATGGCGCGCATGTCGTCTACATCCCCCAACGCCCCTTTGGGTAATGAGGCTGTTCACGAACCATTCAATAAGTGGATCATGATTCAACAGGCGAAATATGTGATCCCGATTGTATTTGTTGTCTACGATCGTTTGATGGACATATGATTCAGACTGTTTCCTGTGCTATTTTTTTTTCTGCAGAAATCATCACTGCCTCTCACTTGACAAACTCCAAAACAGTTCCCAGCGTGATACAACACGTGGTCGGTCCGCTTTGACGTACTCGAGATTTTTATTACTTTCCTCTTCCTTTTCGGCACCGCCCTTGTTATCGCAGGGGCATTCACCCGCTGGTGGTGATCTCGCATCCTTGGTCGCTTTTCACATTCAAACTCAGTGTCCGCACAAACCACCGGCTTGTCACGACTGGACCATATGCAATTGTACGCCATCCATCATACATGAGAGCTCATCTGCAGTTCATGGACCTGCTATTCTTGCACGGATCGCGGACTTCATTCCTTAGGCGCTCAGGTGTTCTAAATATCCCTGAACTGAAAATGTCCGTGGTGGTATTGCTGGCGTAGAGAACATAACAAGCCTCATACATAGGATTCGCGAAGAGGAGGAAGTCGTGAAGTCATTATCCAGAAACGATTGGGTCCTGGGAGACCTGGGCCAAGGTAGCCAGTTGCTGGCTCATATCTGGCACCTACTAAATACATTACGCTTGCGATGACATGCCCTTCAATATGCTGCGTGATGTTGTAGCTACCCAGATACACCAGCTGTCAATGAGACTGCATAGATAGATGCGCTACAGTTTGCAAAGTAGATAGAGGTGACGGTGAATGAAAATATGATACAGTTTGTATGTGCCTGTCCAGTAACCTGCAAAAGTCTACACCACACGTATAAGATTGATCTTCACTGAAACCCGTCGTACCCCTGACCCCACTGCCCATGCATCCCCATACCGCCCATACCCATCCTCGAGTTTCCCATACCCATACCCATACCCATTCCCGGACCTCCTACCCCCATCCCCGTATTCCCCATCCCCATGCCACCGCCCATGCCCATACCAGCCATCATTCCATCTTCCCACATTCGATCGCCATCCCCTACCCATTGGAACGCAGTGCCAGGCATGTCCCCCATTCCCATCACTCCCATGTTCCCCATCCCCATCATACCCATGTTTCCCATGCCCATGCCCATCATATTCCCCATACCCATACCCATATCCATTGGTATCCCCATACCCATCATTGGAGACACCATCATTTGATTTTGGGAAGGCTGACGTCGGCCAAGTTGCATGTTCATGTTCGGGTCGGTGTTCATATTTCCGGCATTCATGCCCACTCCGGCACTTCCTACGCCTACGCCACCACTGATGGCGACCCCAACTCCGCCACTCACGCCTGAATTCCCAGAGCGCATAGGGGATTTGGGGCGGAGAGCGTCGATCTCCTGCGAATTTGGTACAACGCACTTTCCTCCTGCGAGTGAAGCCAGGTGCCGAGTCGCTTCGTCCCATGAATCCTTGTTCCATTGGTGCACGGCATCGCCTTCTGTTGTCCGCGCATGCTCCCCCACCTTAGCCCCATCGCTTTCAGTGAGCACTGTGACCCACCCGCGGCGGAGGGACGAGCGTGCTCGCCCAAAAAGCTCAAGACGGCGCGTGCCGAGACAGAAATTTTCTATAAGGGTGTACATTTCGGGTGGTTTGCGCATCGGGTCAGCGGTATCACCTTCCCAGATGATGACGTCGGTATCTGCATACTGAATTAGTCTTCGTTTCTCCAAAGGGTATGAATGTATACGTCGGAAATGACGCGCGGGTCCAAAATATCATGAACGGGTGTCGATAATAAAATGACAAAAATCGTGGAAAACTGGACTCACCAACGTTGCAGTGAACAAACCAGCTGTCAGTCGAGCGACGTACCGTGCCGCGGATACCCATGAGGCAATGCTGTTTTGTGCGGGTCAAAAGAGAAGTGGTGGGTGGATCTGTCTATGTAGATAGCGTCAGGGATAGATAGATACGTGAGGGTTATGACGCGCACCCCTGGCCCGCGATTGGTGGTATTGTTGGTTTTTACCCATACAACATCCTCACACCTGCGGTAGCCCCACTTAGCGAGGACCTCGCGACCACGCTCGAGACCCTCCCCTGCGCCACTGCCTACCCACATGAATACAAATGAAGGGTCGGCCGCAAGAGAAGGAACAGGAAGCGCTTGAAGGTCGTCCCAGCTAAAAGATGAGGAGAACGGGGGGTCGAGGAGGATTACATCGAACTTTTGAGGATGTAATGAAGAGAGGTGAGAAAAGGGAAGGAAAAACGGAGGTGTAGAATGCGCATCGACAGACTCCTTTTTCAGGCTGAGCAGGCGCTGCTGCTTTGGATATCTGCAGTTGAGATGAGGTCAGATCCAAGGCTGCAGTTGGGCGACGCACTCCTCAAAACGGCGGGAAGGCTCCGCGCCAAGAACTCGATTCTGTGGCCACTCACCGCTGTCGACATACCGCTGCGAGTAGTCATTGCGGATTGTTTCTTCTTCGGGGACATAGTTTGCGTAGCGGGCGACTCTCGCACGTTTTGCAGGATGGAGATCTTGGCGTTGTGGGCGGGTACGGGGAGCGAGTTGGGGCGATGACGGCGGAGAAGGCAATGGTGAAGGTCCAGGGGAATCAATTAATGGGAAATTCACCAGATCGCTGGGTGCGGTTGCAAGAGCACGAAGCTGGCGTCGGTGTGCCCGCTGTGAGTTGCGCACGTATGTGAGTAGTTCCCGATGGGACGTGAGTAGACTGTTTGCAGAGTTCAGTACATCTGTCGTGCTCGCTATTGCTGTGGGTATTGAGCCAATATCTGTCATAACCGTTGAGAGCAAGTATTTGGAATATAGCGGTTGGTCTAAAGGTGTCCAAGACTCCAAGTCGTTCTGTCCTTGGCGACTTGCCTCTTTTGGCATATTTCATTTGGATCACAATCAATGATAATATTTTCTGCACGTCCCAAGTTCATCCATTTGTTTTCCCTACACTCCGTTTCGAAAGTCGAATAACCACTTTCTTTGAAACAATGGGGAAGGCAGCCAAGTCTAGCCGCAAATTCGCGGCGAGTGGCAAGTTAAAGCAGACGATTCAGTTGCGGAAGAAGCACCAGCAGACGCGGAAGAAAATTCAAGGTAGACGCGGGGCACACGGGAAGGGAAAGAAACAGGCGGTTACTGAAGAAGACGGTAGTGACGATGATGACGAAAAGGAGGTGAAGGAAGTCCCCAAGAAAGCAGGGAAAGAGTAAGTTGATTAAATGCCGTCTGATCGTTTGTCTGAATACTGAGAATTCTGCTCCAGTATGAAGAAAATGACCGTCGAGGACTTGCTCGGAGCAGAGTTTATGGATGATGACAATGACATTGAGGAAGATGAGGTACAGCCATTTTTCATTTGCTCACTCAGTGCAATTTTGACACGCGCAGGATGGTGCTGGAGGTGACGAGTTGAGTACAGACGAGGATGAGGAAGACGTAGCAGACGATCAGTCATTTGCGTCCGTAGATGATCTTGAGGGTGAGTGCATACATGATTCTTGTATACTCTGCTTATGTTGTGGTAGATCAAGGCACGACTCATATGCTTGAGCTCGCACAGCTCGCGGAGAAGGACCCTGAGTTCTACAAATATCTGCAGGAGAATGATCGCGAGCTTCTCGACTTCAATGCCACTCAAGAGGGCCGCGACGAAATGGATGACGAAGATGATGTCATGGACGACGACGATGACGATGGCGATGATGAAATGGGAGAGGAATTACCCATTCTTACTACCGACATTCTCAAAACCTGGCAAAAAGCACTCCTTGAGGTGAATTGTCGAGTTATATCTCATCGCACGTGCACTGCTGACCTGGCGGCCATAGCATCGTTCTCTGCGAGCCCTCCGCAAACTGCTCATTGCATTTCGTTCTGCAGTGCATATGAATGAAGATGATCAGGTTCTTTTGTGGCGCATTGACAATGCCGCAGGTGAGAATCGCATCCTCGTGCATCGTGGTTTGTAGTTGAATCGATCCCCCGACAGTGTATACAAAGCTTGTAACGACCTCTCTGCGGTATACGCCAATTGTCCTCGCTCATCATATCCCTTATAAAACGCTTCCAAACGGTAAATTGTGTGTCCTTCCCTCTTTCCATGTGGTCTTGCTCTGATTTATTCTATCTATTACCAGTAAACAACCTACACAATCTGGAAAGCAAAAAGCGCTGCAAAAACTGACACTGTCTTACTTCAACAATGTGGTTCACCTGATCCCTCAGCTCACCGACCCCGAGACATTGCGTCTCGCGCTCACAGAGAGCGCTAAGATCCTCCCTTACGTCGTCTCTAGCCGCAAGGCCGTTAAGACGTACCTGAAGGTGAGTCCAAAATCTGCTGCATTTCTGTTTGAAATCCTTTATCACGACGGCACTTGCCTTCTGTTTTGCCTTTCCTCCCTTTTTCGCCTTCGAACGAGGCTGACCCCCAACACAGAAATGTTTAGAATTATGGTCCACAGGTGAGGATGACATACGGATAGCTGCGTTCCTAGCTATCCGTCGACTTGCGTCGTCCACTGAAGATTCTATAGTGGATCTTGTGCTCAAGGTACGCAATTTTTTTTATGCCTGCTACTCCTCTTGACACAGACCAACCTTGCAGAGCACATATTTGGCGCTCGTGCGTGCGTGCAAGTCTACGAGCACCTATCGACTGCCATCCATTACGCTTATGAAGAATTCCGCATGCGAATTATTTTGCGTAGACCACGGTGCAACGTATCAGCACGCATTCGGCTACATACGCCAGCTTGCAATACTCCTGCGTGGGGGCATGAAAACAAAAACAAAGGCAAGTAGATGCTTCTGGGTAGCTTGGACGGACAGATCTGACGTCTTGGATCATCTTCAGGAGGCGTACAAACAGGTTTACAACTGGCAATACGCGCATTGTGTCGACTTCTGGGCACTTGTGCTAGGTCGCGCGTGCGATGCACACGCGCAGGCCGAACGAGGGGGGCAGGAGAGCGAGCTAAGGTCACTCATCTACCCACTCGTGCAGGTCAGTTTGGGTGCCATCAAGTACGTTCTCCACGTGTGGTTTTTCTCGTGCTTATCTCCTTCACAGGCTCATTTCGAATTCGCGGTCGTATCCATTCCACTTACACATCGCACGCTCGATGCTGCATCTGACTCGACACACCCGCATTTACGTACCATTGACGCCTTATCTCCTTCCCATCATCTCATCCACCCTCACGGCATCCGGCAAGCCCAAGTCATCCACGCTACGCCCTCTCGACATGGAAACGCATATACGTGCTCCGGCGCAGTACGTCAAGACACGGGTATATGCAGCGGGACTTGTAGAGGAGACGGTATTCATTCTTGCGGAATGGCTCGGCAGCAGCCCAGTACATGGAAGCGTTGCATTCCCTGAACTAATCGTGCCCATCGTTGTCACACTCCGCCGAACACTAAAAAATTGCAAGGAGCTAGGGAAGGAGGCCGGAATGGTGAAAGGCCTTTTAGAGCGGGTAGAAGACTGTGCAAAATGGATAGACCAGTCACGCGCGGGCATAAACTTCGGTCCAGGAAAAATGGACGAAGTCGAACAGTGGGAGGCCAACGTGGAAATAGAGGAGTCACCCCTGGGAAAGTACCTGAAAGTGCAACGGAAGAGCAGGGAAAAGCGCAAAAGGATGATCGATAAGGTACGCGTATCTTTTTTACCCTGGTGCGGATACTCCTGATGTCGTTACAGGCCAACAAAGGCGAGGATGAGATCTTAGAAGACTAAATTGGTGTGGTCATCTTGCAGCCTGTCTGACGTTAATAATTTTGACACAAGACGCCGAAGGGAATGATAATCAAGGGGCCGCTTCCCCAAATTGATCCTCTCGGAACGCGAGAGGAATAGTGTTGACCCTCTTCTGTCCGCGGAACAATGATCGTTCTTCACTTCTTTTCAAAGCTTGTGAGATTCGGCGAGGACCGAAGTCACCGTCACATCGTTTCGTTCCGTGTTTTAATTTCCGGGAACGACAAATTTGCACTGTTGTCCACCTCCACAATACATACACGATTTCATCCTCCCAAAAAAATTATTTGTCTTAACACGAGCGGTATCCGCCGTCTTTCTGTTGCCTTTTTTCGATGTTTTTGAATTGAGATCCGGCGAGGACCGAATTGATGTTACAGCGTTTGACCTTCTGGGACGACAAGCTGGCGCTGTTCTACACAACAGGACATGCGGTTTCATAACCCCAAGTTAGCTTAGGTTAGCTTGCGTGGGTCATACATTTGTCCGTGATGACGCGGGGGTTCTTTGGTCACTAATGCCACCAATGCGGGGGTTGCTTTGGATCCGGCAGTGTTAGGACTCTTAGGAGACATGGACTCTCACATGCGGTTTATGAGGTGAAATTAAAATGTCCAAGAGGACTGCAGAGTCGCAAAGCGGCATTGTTAGCACCAAATATAACGACAGCCAGATGTTTCACCATCAAGTTATGGCGAAGTGATGGAGATATAAGAGTTCGAACAATCATGATGCTGATAGGTCTAAGCCTGAATGGGCCTGGATGGATGGATCCGAGGACTTCAGGACTGGATAACTAGGGATGCTAATTCGGTTTCGTGCAGACCTTGATATCTATTCTCAGGTTAGGATACCATGGTAAGGTCCCGAATTCTATACATACTCTGAGCTTCTAGATGGTAAGTCTTCCGCTCCACAAGGCGCCGAGCAGAATAAACTCACGCGAGAACAACCGTAGTCCAGCGAGGCGAAAAGCTACTCATGATCATTTCCATACTCCAAAAAAGACTTTCCACCAAGGTCTTCCTGCACCTCTTGCACTCCTTTCATATCCCTCCACAAGCCGTTCATAGTGTCTTGGCATAGAAGCCGGCTGAAGGGTTTTAGTTGACAGTGCGTACTGAATGCGGAAGGGTACAATTGCAGTTCATGCATGAGAAGACATGTGGGTGCACTCACCTTCTTCTGTATGGCATTGTCCCGCAGTAGCTGTGCTGCCTGGACGGCCTCAGAGGTTAGCTTGGGATGCGCAGAGAGGGATTTCAGAAAGTTCTTGAGTTGGATATTCGGACGAAATGGATCAACAGGCCACGACGAAGCGATACTGGACAGCTTTTGTGTCACCTTGGAGGCAACCATGGCGGTTGTTGTGAGATCTAGGGCTGAACAATTAGACGATCCCGATACGAATACACACTCGTACCTCCTTGTATGGTACTGCAAATGGGACTCCCCACCGATAGGACCGACGTCAATTTTTCCGCAAACCTACGATTGAGCTAAGCTGACCAGGCACTTGTTCTAATCGGACCTTCAATTTATTATGCAAACCTTCGCAAACCTTCGCGGGAAGTTCATTCAATGGGTTTCGAAAGTCCCCCTTTACGGTAATTTTAAATCCGTCTAACAGTCACTGTCTCCCCAAGCTGCCATCGCTTGAGGATTGCGGGAGCGATTGGGAGCGATTAGGTGCGATTGCCAATTGTTTTTCTTGGTCACCGAGCCTATCCGCGGCCGGATTTCGGACACAGCAATTGTGACGAAAAGCAAGCCAGGGCAATCAACAAAATTTGGAGTGGAGTGACAGGAGTCAAAACATCATGTGGAAGCAATCGGTGTTGCCCTGTGCCATTCTACTACGTGCGACTCCCAAAAGAATCTCCTCGGAACCACCATGAAATAGATATCCCACATCCTGTACGAATGGAAGGCCAAGATGCTTGGAATTTCCGTGAATGGTTCCCACTTAGAAGGGAAGGAATAAGACCCCGTCGCTCAGAATTCTCTCCAAAATGTCATGGTTTGTCCTTCCAGCTGTCGGCATTCGCTGCGTACTAAAGAACACACAAGATGGGTTTGATTCACTGACACATCATGTCATGCGTTCATGCGTAAGTGGCACAGAAATCACCCTGCGGTCCCTCACTTGCTGTCGCGAGGGGAAATTCCCATTCGTGGATAGTCACACAGGGTTGCAGATTGCATTATTATCGAAAATATCATCATCGACAGCCAGCCTGTCAGTATCGATAATCGATACTCACAGTGGGCGACAGCGCTGATATTTAATAATATAGACCCCAGGGGCCTGTCTTAGGTTTGTGGCAGATACCGGGCCAGAAAATCCCACTGGTGTCTATCTCTGATTCAAGAGGACACACACACCCTTTTCCGGATCTCATCTGATTACGGGCTTCCGTCTACAAGAGCCGTCGCAGTCGTCGTGATTCTTCCATCAGGGATGGCTGCGTGAGGACATACTTCCTCTCCGGTGCAAGTAGCGGTCAAATAGCTTCCTGCATCTCTCCGATGGATATGGAATCACAAATAATATCATATGTGCGAGAGCTCCTGATTTTATTATAATCCGCTTTGATCAGTGCTGGCCCGTGTAAGAGATTACATCTGCCGATGACGTAGATCAAATACTCCAGCGAAGAAGTTGCAACCACAGGTGACAAGCTCGAGGCCAGGATATCTCGTATTTCTGACCGTGTGTATGCTTGACTTCAGTGCAGTACATGTGTCATAGCCTAATAAGTCTGATCAAGTGCTTGACCTTGCCGGGAATTGCCAACACTCAACGGTGAAACAAAATAATATATAGTTAATTCAGCACTACGGTCAACGCGCCCGCCAGTACTTGCCAATGCAAGGTGATAATTGATGGAAAGTGTATGTCTGGAACATCGGCGGGCGCTAGTTTGACGCTTGCAGTTGGCTTGTGCTTCACGACACGTGCACTGCCACAACCAGACCAGGGCCAGTTGGGCCTTAGCGCGTTGAAGGTGAGGCATATTGCCCACTTTCGCCCTTTTTTCGCTGTTTTCAATATGGGCTGCTGTGGGGAGTCAGTCATATCAGCTAGCGCTCCTGACACCCAGTATGCCAACAGGGTGCAACCTGTGAACAGTGGTATCATTAGCCAGCAGCCTGGTCCTCATCCAAGCGCTCAACATCACGGACGGCCATTCGTAGAAAAATCACCACTACTCATCCCTCCTGGACCTTCTCCACCTCCACCAAGCTTTCACCAGAACAACCGGTCGATAAATGGCAGCTCTTGGAACCACACACCATCACCACCCCCGCAAGGCCCGACCTACTCGGCTCCTTTGAGTCCAAACCCTGGCGGTGCACCATTGATGCTACCCCCAGCTACGTACATTCCTCCAGGAGCGTCCAATTCTGCTATGTTCCTTCCACCTCTCTTGCACCCTGACCCCGTCCATCTTCCGCCAAATAACAGCAATGTCGCACCCTCCGTATCCACTGCAATAGCTCCAGGAAGGATTGATCCGGCACCTTCAGACGAGGGGAAAATGTCCATCTCTATTGACTTCGGTGAGTATTCACATTGTTACTGGCAAAGTCTTGTGCTGACTTCAATTCAGGAACTACCTTTTCTGGTGTCGTGAGTTGACTTGATTTAACGAAAGCTTTGCGGCTTATTATCTTCATCGCAAATAGGCATACGCCTCGTCTCGAATTGCGTCCGGGAAGATACAGCAAATCCTGCATTGGCCTGGATCTTTTGAAACTTTCCGCAAGGTGCCTACGTGCTTGCTATATGATGAGCATGGTCAAGTTCTTGCTTGGGGACTGGAAGCGAAGAACGCCAGCTCCATGCCCGGTACTACGCGTTGCGAATGGTGGGGATTTTTTCATAGACCAAAATTATTTGATTCAGATACTTTGGTCAAGGTTCAAGCTGTTTCTCGAACCACGTGCTCTTCGTGATGAAAGTGCGATTGACCCTCGACTACCCCAATTACCTGTCTGTGTCATTCCTTATTCTATTTCATAAAAACTTACGGTATTTCAGCATGGTAAAACAGCAATGGATCTCATCATCGACTTCTTATCGTGTCTGTGGGAATACGCTAAAGAGCAAATTACCCGTGACATTGGAGCTGTCGCCGATCTCAGTTAGTGACCATATCAAAGATATGGATACCTTAATTTATCCACTGTTCTTTCAGACTCGGCTGATGTACTTGTGACGTGCCCGGCAGCTTGGGACGCTAAAGGATGCGATATGATGCGCGAAGCTGCCATCGCCGCAGGCCTCGTGCAGTCGGCTCATGCAGGTGATGGTCACTGGCGCGACAGGCTGCGTATCATCACGTACGATCTCTCTTGCATGATCGCCCGTTCATTCAGCTTACGCTTTTCAGCGAACCAGAGGCTGCTGCTGTCCACTGCGCCCGGCTTACGGACCTGCATAAGCTCAAGCCTAACCAGAATTTCATGATATGTGACGCTGGTGGTGGAACAGTCGTGCGTTTCCTTGTAACAAATTATTTTACCCACCTAACGCAACCCTGAGACAACAGGATCTTGCCGTCTACAAAATCATTGGGCAAATGGCCAACCTCGAGATTGCGGAGATGTGCGCTCGATCTGGAGCCAATTGTGGTTCCCTTTTCCTCGATTTGCGATTCCGAGAGCTCGTAAACACTCTTTTAGCCGATCACCCTGCTCATTTGGACGCCGCTAGCCTCGCCTATTTCATGCATTCCTTCAGCCAGACCGATAAGCTCGCATTTAGGGGCGAGAGCGACGATGGTAAGCAAAATTATTGCCCTCAGAATCTCACGCTTATGCGCACTATTTGCAGACACATACTTCAACTTCACATGTTTCAATGTAGAAGATCCCCATGATTCTTCTGTTGGATTGATCAATGGAGAACTCGCGATTCCAGGGAACCTCATTCGCCGAGAAGTCTTTGATCCTGTTGTGAATCAGGTAATCTTCGTCGTGAAATTCCGTTGTTTTCATTGGTTATGGTCTTTTGACAGGTACTCGAAATGATCGAGGAACAGTCGAAGAAGGTAGAGCAGCGCATCGACGCCCTGCTTCTCGTGGGAGGGTTCGCTGGCAGCGAATATCTAGTTAGACGAGTTGAGGTGCGTTTACACGAGTGAGCGTCATGGACGACTGATCAGTGCTTACACACCCTCGTGGGACAGGCGCAGTTTTCGGGGAGAATCAAGGTCATCGCTCGCCCTTCTGACGCCGACACGGCTACAGTGCGAGGTGCCGCACTGTACGGACTTGCTCGCAAATCAATCGTGTCAACTGTGATCGCTCCACGGTCCTACATCATGAAAGTGGGCGTACACTCTTAGACTCTTTGTTGCCCTCTTCTGATTGTGTGCCAAGGTCAAATTGCCTGCCGAGCCAGAGGACTGGGCCAAACGCCCTGCATACATCAAGGAGAACAATGCCAACATCCCTATTTGTGACAACCGGTAATGACGGTTCATGACCATCCGGCGTAATGTATTGATTACCGGGTGTAGTTTACAATACTTGGTCATGAAGGGCGCTATCCTGCGAAAAGGGTAACTATCGATCTGCTTTGGAAAGTTCTCTTGTTGACCCTTGTCTTGTTCAAGCCAAGTGTTGAGGACGAAATTTTGGTAAGTGCCCCAGTTACATTGACACAATCGAGCTTTTGGTTTAACTTGGAATACAGCAAATTCTCACAGGATGGACAGGGTGCGATACAACTATGCTGACTATCACCGCTTCACGATACTCACAGATATCCAGATTGTATATTCGTAGCCGTGCTGTATACTTCCGACTCGGACAAGATGATGAGATATACTGATGAAGTATGTGGCCACGTCACGGATATTTTGAGCACATCACTAACCTATGCTTCTTGAAGGGCGAAACGACGGAGCTCTGTAAATGGACTGTTAATCTGAATTCTCTGCCCACGTTCCAGCAGAATGCCAGCATACCGCAGCCAAATGGCTTCTTCACAGGCTTGTGGTTGTAGTCGCTTCTGAATGACTTGAGCTGATCTCCGTTCACAGAATTCGAACTGGGTCTTGAGATTGATAGTGCGGAGGTCCGAGGTATCTTGTTTTACGAGGGACAGGAATGGAGTCGAGTTGTCTTTGATTTTCTGAATTGATTGGCATGGAGACTACAAGAGTACTTGCTTGACCCGGAGTATGTTGCGTTATTATTAATGTGTGTTCCTGGCGCTGCTTGCTATATATATTTGATGCTGGAATGACCTAAAATACGTTTGACTGGGACGGAAGAGTTGGGTGCCCGTGGGAGAGCGGTAAAAGTTTGCCAACGCAACCACAGCTTGGATGAAACGGAAATGTAGTAGACTGCTTCACGTTCTTCTGACACCGATGGCTAAATTGCTGTAAAGTTATCAAGGCTTTCCCGTTCATGCGTGCAAATATTGACAGCTATTTGACAGCCATGTGGGATATGAAAATTTTGGATTAAATCCCGTTTTGATGGACGATGGGAGACGATGGGTCGGCCGATCCTGAGGCGGTGATTGAATTCGCAGGTATGTCGTCGATGATCGATGATGTGAACATCCCAAAGCACTTTTGAGTAAGTGCATTGACGCCCCCATGCCATGATGCAGGCTTTATCTATCAGATCCGGGGACTCGTCTCACGCGTTTTCTGCCACGGGGCGATAGCTTCAAACGTATGGCATCAGATCTACCTGGATATCCCAGGTTCAATCCTCCGATTTCGCCGCAAGTGTAATAGTCTGTGAGTGAGCAGATCTCAGACCCCGATCTTGGATTACAAGTATTTGTGACCTGGTGCCTATTGGTAGTGTACATTGCCTTCAAGCGTTACCTCCACTCTCGTCCACACTTTTTTGATTGCTGCGACATCCGGTCATATCCGTTTCTCGGAGTTCGCCGAACTGTCTTACAGAGGATCGGGTTGACATATGAGTCGTCACCCAAAAACTTATAAAGCCTTTGCGATGGATGGTCCATATCCTCGCTATTTGTTCCTGCAATGTCGACGCCGATATCGACTCCTCAGCTTTCTGCCATTTCCCTCGCCCACCTTTATAGCCTCCTCCGGCCAATAACCGTTCCTAATACTTCTCCCAATGCCAAGTTCACCAATTGGAGTTCGACATTCACATGTTCCCCACTCGCAATCTTCGAGCCAGAAACGGAGCATCATTGTGAGCTCATTCTAGAGCTCGCTCGACGTGAAGGCAAAGTAGTCCGAGCAGTCGGGGTCGGCCATAGTCCCAGTGACCTCGCCTGTACCACCGGCTACATGCTACGCACCACCAAGCTCGACCGGCTTTTGGAGGTAAGCATAATTGACTTATTCGGTTAAACTTTGTTTCATCCCCGACCCCACTGTCGGAGGCGTTCGTCATTGGTTTATCATTAGCACCCGTAAGCGCGCAATATTGATGCTGATTCTTGATTATTCAGATCCATGCAGATAAAAGATATATCATCGCTCAAGCCGGAATTACACTTGATGCACTGCATGCCGAACTTGCAAACCATGGTCTTGCGATGATCAATGTCGGCTCGATCTCCGACCAGACATTGGGCGGTATCGTTACGACCGCTACCCACGGAACCGGTATCAACTATGGCGTTATTTCTACGCATGTCATGGGATTGTCGTTGTTGTTGGCGGATGGATCTCGCGTGTTCTGTTCTCGCCAAGAGAGGCCCGATCTTTTCATAGCATCAATATGCGGATTGGGCAGCACGGGCCTTATCTTGACGGTTACCCTTGAGGTGGAGCCCGCGTTTCGCCTCAAAGAGGTCCAACAAACCATCCAGTTTCATGAATGTGTGCGGACCTTGGACAGCCTCGTCACTGCCTCCGAACATGTTCGGTTCTGGTGGTTTCCAGCTGCGGATACTATGCGAGTTAGTTCTGCCGATCGTACCGTAGAGGTGAGTTCCCCGTGCCCAGATTATGTCCACCTCCAACGTAATCCCTTCTAGCCAGCCAAACCGGTGGGAAGCTGGCTCTGGCATTCGTTGATCGGATTTCACGTGGTGCAATTTCTGCTTTTTGTGGCAAGATACATCTTGTCACTGAACATCTTCATCGGCCGCTTTGCAGCATGGCTGGTCAGCACCAAAGTTATCGCGGTTGACGATAGCTTCCGTATCTTTAACATGGAATGTAGAGTATGTGAAACATTTTTGCTTCATCCCACGTTACTGACACCGTTATAGTACCCACAGCACACTACCGAATGGGCCATCCCTTACGAAAACACGAAAGCCTGTCTTAATGATTTGCATGATTGGCTCGCGCGCGAGTTTTCTGACCCCAAAGGTCTCCGCCCTCATTTCCCTATCGAAGTGCGATTCTCCGACAAGGATGATATCTGGCTAAGTCCTAGCAACGGACAGAGAACTTGTTGGATCGGGATTGTCCAGTTTAAGTATGTGTCATCTTTTGTCTTTTCTGCACTGGCTGAGATTTGTCGAAGACCCTACGGATTCGAGGTTCCTTACAAGATGCTGTTCGAGCGCTTTGAAGCCATCCTGTATCGTCATGGCGGCCGGCCTCATTGGGCTAAGGCACATCACCTCCGTCCAGAGACACTTCGCAGACTGTATCCTCGGTTTGACGACTTCACCCGCGTACTTGGGGCGGTCGACCCTCGTGGGATGTTTCGCAATGAGTATGTGGAACGCCACATATTTGGCAAGACAGGCCCAGAATATGACAACAGAGTTTTCAAGCGCCATGCCCCTTCACAATAATATTGCATGATCGGGAGTTTTCAGTTCCGCCATACCTACAATAAGGCTCGTCATCTTGTATAACCTATTCCAAGTAGATTAGTTCAGCGAATTACTGCATCCAAGGAACGTGCTGGCAACGTATCATATTCTAGTGTTACATATCACGGTACTCATACACCTAACTGTTGCCTAATCGACTCACTGACCAGCCTTTCATACTCCTATTTGAAAGGGTCATGTTCATAAGATACAAGAGCGTGACATGATTCAACGCTCACTTGTTTGTTCTCCCGATACAACTTGCAACAGTCGATGTTAGCGCCACTCTCCAAATTTGGTTCTGTCAAATGAAGCATCAAGAGAAGGGTAGAACAAGGATCAGATCCGATGAACGTACCGGCAAGCATGGAAATGACACTCAAGATCACCTTCTCAACGCTCTGCACAGGACTCCATCTCTCAGATGCTTGTTCATACATGGTAGGGTCATCTCCGGGAGTGTGGAGGATCGATATACACACGTTTCCATCCGGATAAACTGTGCACCATCAGTAAGGCGATAAAATCCATTAAGCAGATGGTTTCACTGTTCGGATGGAATAAGGGAGGGTCGAATTTCATCTTGAAAGGTGATAGTGGATAATCCTGTGGCTAAGGCCCGACCCTTGAGTTACATTTGCGAGATCAACATCATGACATGTTATCTTACAAAGGTCAGCTTGGCGACAAAGACGCCACCCTCCTGAAATGCCAATTACATGATCAAGTACACCTTGCGAGAGGTCGCAGGAACACCTACAAATGGTGTATCTTTTGGACCGCAGATAAGCGCTTCCCAGGTGAAGAAATCTGACTCTGAGATTGGTCCTAGAGGTCAAATTGAATTTTATTAACGATATTGCGATGTATTTGGTGATATACCTGCAGTGAACATCCCATCAGGCGAGCCTGGAAAGCCGAAACCCAGTGAGTGTGAACTGTATCATTTACAAGACGCCAAATATCAACCTCCTGAGGTCAATTGCTTGTACTCAGTCATTAATCGTCGTAGTGCAGTTGCACTACTGCCCTTTGCATTCATGGTGAGAATGTCGGATAAGAGATGGAGGATGTCAAAAAAGTTGCAACCAGGTCATGAGCGCTTATACTATTACACCAAAATGGTCCACACACGCCCGAGCGTACGTAATGTACGGTACAATCGACTGTCGGACTCTCAACAACGCGCTCTAGCTTGTTGAATTCATCCGCCGCACTACTCTTCCCAAGCCCGCTCTGCGCTCTCCGCCAAAATTATATTGGAAGGAATATATGCTGGCGATAATGATATCCTTCCGATTTCTGAAGACTTCGCCTGCCTATCACTAGTAGGATGTCACAGGACGAACAGTGCTCAAAGCGCTATTGGTTGGAAGTTTGTGAACGTGCAGTCACATCCACAAGTTGGAGTTGACTTGGAGCATTATTCTCACACGTCACCTTGAGACTGAAACATTGAAAGGTTTGCCTGAGAGGGTAGGTCCAGAGATGCGGAACTTATCAGGTTTGAGGTCTCTCACATTTATTATCAAAGGTCCGCCGCTGCGTGCAGAGATCCTTATGCATATGACGTATCAGGACAGCATCACTTTCAAAAAAAAATAGATGACTTTGTCAGGCTGGCAACACCTGGCAAACACTGCCATCCGATACCTGTCATATGAACGGTGACTTTACGGACCGGTCTTTCATTGATCATCTGTGAGCGCTCAGATTCTATGCAGGGTGGCCTCTGGTGACTCGTTTCAGTGCCGAGCTGTTTATCCTATAACAACAGGCACTGTCCTCGGTGTTCAAAGTTGTTCCGCATGTGCCAAGTTAGCAACTTCGGGTACAGCATCCCGCTAGGGAACTTAAAGAACACTGGAACACACAATCCATTTACTGTGAGAGATTCCAATTACCCCCATTCAAAGGTACATCCCTTTCCTGTGGGCAAACAATTCAATATCACCATAATAATGAGAAGTAGGACCCCGGATCATACTGGGTAATACCATCACAGATACACTTTCGGGCAGAATTCGACCCGCAGGGCCGCACAGCCATTTACGTGCCCAGATACAGGATTGGGCGACTCATCCTCAGCCCGGACCCTTGCCAAGGGTGGCGCACGTGGTCCTCGGCGTAAAGCCATATGACGGTCCGCAAGGGCTCTTTGTACTTTCGTGATCATTCCATCTCGTTCCTGGATCTGACTAGCTACCCAAGGTAATTGGCGGGCATGT